CAAATTTTAAAAACGGCGTCAGCCATTGATGATGTTATTGTTTTATTTGGTAGTGACGTGTTTAAGCAGTATAGAAGGTTAGGTCATGAGGAAATAAAGTTTCTATATTAATTGTATGTAAATCTGGTAAATCCGCATGACCTCTTCGGTACAGCATTAATCTAGATTCTGATTTTCCTAAATTTATTTTGATGGTTGCTAAATGTCAAGGTGTATAAACTAGAATTTAGATTCTTGCCCTCTAATCTATCATGGTGAGTTATCGCGTAGTACCTATTTTGAGGGGTTAAATTTCAATGGTTTTGCATTCTTCCTTTATTTTTCATATATGGGCCAGGATAAACAATCCATAAACCACCAGTACTGTGCGGTAACGATAAAACGAAAACATAATATATACAATAATCTATTTCTATACCGGTAGAAGGTTGAAGTCGATTAAAACAATAAATTCTTAAAGAAAGAACAACAAGGCTGTCACCGGATGTGATTTTTGGCACAGCAGACTTTTGAATTATGTCTTTTAAGGACTGTATCCAGTGTAGGTTGGTGTAGTATGTACGCAGAGAATCTTGATGGCGACATTAATGGTTCGCCAAAAACCATGTATGCATTATGCATTAAAATTATAAAAACTTATATAAAAAGGTTTTAATAAGTTCTACGAAAACCATAAAATTGTCTACATGAAATCACACTTAACGCGCAGTGAACAAAAAGAGAAAGCGAGCATTTTCAACGTTGAATATAAAAACCATAAGCCAATTAGATAACAGGGTTTTCGTCAAGATCACAAAATTAAATGGGTGACTATTATTCCAGAATTTTAATTTGTCAATAACATGTAGGTTGGTAGGAAATTTGAACGTGTATAATATGTCATGGCATAAAAGTGCATTCTGTATTAGCTCTAGAATGTGTGCATAAAAAAAAAATTGTAGAATTACAATAGGTATTATCACCAGACCTGGTCATCTAAGCGGCGCGGTAATATCAGTCTACAAAACAATAAATATATTTGTTACAGTTATAAAACTTTTTTTTGTGTGGTTTTAACATTCTCAAATTTAATGGCTGTATAAAATATTTTACAAATCAAATTCGACCTTATTAGTTTATAAGGTTTGATTTGAAATTGTCTCATATAAATTTACACTGTGCTCGTGTCCAATCGTTTGTTTGGACTTTATAAAGTCAAAGCAACTAATATTGTAGTATTTTATAATAGGTTTGTAAAATATTTTTTATTATATTTTGTAAATAACATCGTAAATATTTGTTAGAGTAATGTTAAAAGTTTATACAATTAAAAAAAAAAAAATACGTACAGCATGTTTATTAGTAGAGTTAAGACTATCTAATTCTATGTTGGCGGCTCCCAGGAAAAAAACACTGAATCTCTACAACATATTATATGTCGTATAAAAATTAAAATATAAGATACAAATAACTTTATAATCATTTAATGGTTCTTTGTTGACGAGAACTCCAAGCACCTCAATATCATGCGTATCAGTTTAGTAACTATTATACAACACGTAAATGAGTTTGCTTTGAATTTAATTACTAAAGAGTATAGATTCAAACGAAGCTTGTTTTCTTATTTAGCGAGTAAAGACAAAACAATTTTCGAAATTTGATCCTTAAAATTCAACAATTAATGATGATTATAGGTAAACATAATAACCATTACTCTAGCATCCAATGGACGTACGAGAATATCAATCGCAGCATAATAGATGTAGGTCTGATTGAATATGGTAATTTATCTCTATCAGAAAACAAGAGCAAAATAACGAGCACCATTACAAAAACGTATTAACTCCACACGGTAGGTTTTGCGGAGTTGTTGAAACAGGAAAGCTATAGAGAAAGGCAATAATTTAAAAATTAATGTTAGTAATTTATTATTTTGCGTTAAATTCATATTAATATTTTAGGTGCTGTAACACTGTGAAATATGTTATAGAATTGTAGTATTTGAACAAAACAGCAGTTCCACGTAAAATAAATTTAACGAATAATTTAAACAAATAATATAATATTATTCATCCGAATAATATTTTGTTTAAAAAGAACTAATGCGCAAGGGTAAGTAATCAAAATGATCAACATTCCATTGTTGTCAGTACTTAAACTTGTAGAAACAAATAAGAAGACATGTAATACAGAGAATACCAATGTTATTTTAAATTATATATTGCATTAGGTACAATTTAAAAAAGACAGCTATGATATATCAATGTCAACAATCTATGCTAAGGAAAGAAGAGAAAGCAATGAATAATAATTGTATATCTTCGTTTTCCCAATGTGATTCCTTAGTTTTTTTTTTTTTTTAAATAACCCAGTAAACTTTCAGAATAATTCGCCAAATATTATTTTTACTTATGAATTCATATCTTGTTTTTCTCATTCGTACTAAAATTATTATTCAAATTGAAATTAGAAATTATTTTTATTCAAATATACTTTTCATTACTATTCAAAAATTCCAGCCGTACCATTATCGCACTTTTTATTGGGATTTTATCACATTTCATTTATAAAAATGGCCCGTTGGTAAAAATAAATATTATAAATAATTGTATCGATTAATTGCTCAAAGTATTCTGTTAATTTTCTTAAATTAACAAAATAAATCGGTCAGAATAAAATAATTCGCGTTTGGCGAAAATGGCAAGTATTTTAAAAATATATTATTATTTAATTTATAAGAAAATCCATATTTTTAGTATAAAAACAGTTGTATATATCATATGCAATGTTAAACATCAATATAGTAGATAGTGCAAATAGGTTTATTAGCTAGATTTAAGCATCAACTTCAGAATATTTATCCCAGCAATTGTTTTTATTCATTTAAAATCCGATTTAACGAAATCGAATACACGGACATATGAATGATGATGATTTATGAGCTATTGATAAACCTATATTAGTTGTTGTAACATTATATACTGTAAGTAGTTTTTGAAGAAAACAAAAATGAGTTTTAGTAAAAAAAAAAAACCATTATTACATATCGTATTATATTATTTGATATAAAAATGTTTTTTGATTATTATTTGATCCCGGGGAAATGTTATGCCTCCTGATAAAATACATGTTTTTTTAAGTAAATATCTTCAAAGAGTTAATTAATAGAATTAATTTTTTTACTGAATTGAAAAATAATTATATTGTTGTCTATATTGTACATAATATCTTCAGGATATCTAGCGTAAAATAGAGGAAAATAAAGTTAATCGTCGTTGGCTGAAACAGTTGAAATCACATGAACAAGTTCTGTTGTAAATGCAACACAGAGCTCTGTATGTATTACAATAATTATTCAGCGTTATGCAGTGTTCTACGTTTTGCTAACAACAACCGTTGCTACAAAGTATTAACCATTGTAAGTTCCAAGAAAAAAACATGAGCTCATATTAAATATTTAAGTATGTAAACGTCTTATAAATTAGGTTTAGACTAATACATTTATTTGTTGTATGCTAGAATAAGTCTATGCTCAACGGCATATCAATAGAACTACATAGGGTAATAGCCGATAAACTATCGATTGATCGATAGCCGCGGAGTTATTTTTATGTAATTCTGTGAAAAATGCTAAAACCTTAAAGATATAAATTGTATAATAAAGTATTATAACGTTGAAAGAGATGCGTATCCAGTATTTTTTCTAGGAGAAATAAAATGATTTTTGTAATTTGTATTTAATGTAATTTTAGGATCGTCAAAATGAAATTTACTTAAGACTTTTGTTTAAAAGTTCATAAAAAGTGTGACTATGTTTTATTTCTGTTTTTAAGTTAAGCCGGGTAACGAATACTGACATTAAGTATGTTGGTTGATTTGGGGAAGTGTCGTTAATACCAGTTTGGAGAATTAGCTGTATATTGCACATTGCAAATGGTTATTCGTTTCGCTTACCGCTAATAGTTTCGTTAGTGGTTCTGGTGTTAATTGAATTTGCTTCTCCACTCCTTCGAATATCACTGCCCGAAACTAATGCTTTCGAATATTATTTTAATTTCAATTATTGCAGGTAAACAAAGAGTCTGGGCGGGACAAGGTTATTGCCTCTTAAAGTCGGAACCACAACCGGATAATTGTGAAGATAATGGTAGAGTTATGATTAGGTAATGCGACTTTAGAAATTTGGAATTCTCTTATATTAACTGAACCGAAATTATCTCATCCATTAAATTGTATAGTGGAACATGTAATTGGATTTAAGATCACTCGTTATGCGCTTGGAAACCGTCAAACGTGGTCGTGGATGTTTTGTGAGATATGTGCACAAAAAATATGTGAACGAAATTTAATTGTTAAGCTCTAACTTTAAAACGTTAATTATGGTAATTAACACAACAAACATAAATACAGCAAGAGAATTGGTATAAACACAGCTTATTGTTAAATTTATGTAATAGTTAACAAATAAACGGTCGCTTCTGCAGTAGACGATAAGTGATAACACATACATATTTATCCTCAAACGATACAACGGAAAAGCGGTTTACTTACTGCACAAAGAAATAGATAGTAAACATATGTTTTACATTTTTACACGAGGTATAGCTAAGTCTTTTGTGCAAATGTTGGTGAAATTAATTTGTAACGCTGACAAAATTGACAAGTAATTAACGTTGAAGTTATAAAGATTTTTTTTTTTAACGTTGGCTCTATTATCTTATGCAAATATGTATGTATCATAGCTATACTAATAATATTGTATTGTTCTATATGAGATAATATTATATAAAACGTACTATATTTAATTTATGCTAAAAAACACGTTTAAGAGTACACAGCCGAAAAATAATAATATAGAAAATATTAATATTGTCGGTAGTCCATAAAAAAGGTATGTAATATATGGCAACTAACAGATAATTATCGACAAGCGCGTATGTAGCTTTCAATGCATAATTGCGATGAATTGATATTGGAGATTTGAGGTTTTTTAATAATCCATTTTTTTTTTTTTTTTGAAGCCGACCACTTTCCAACTTTCACTTTGTGCCAGTCCAATTCGACCGTGGAGATGTTCCACTGCAACGCGACGGAGTGCATACCTAAGTCTTTGGTGTGCAACGGTATACCTGACTGTCAGATGGCCCAGGACGAATCGGTGTTCGAATGCGGTAAGTGACATAAGGCTTTCCTCCGTGTGATCTCATCAAAATCTGATATACTGGGATACAATACGTGTATAGTTTTCCCAAAAGTTACCTTTGTTAATAATGACGTGCGGAAAGGAGAACTGCCGTGTTTCTGGCCGGCTCACCTACGTGGTTGATAAAAGGATTAACTTAAATTAACAAACTAGAGTCTAGGGATGTTGTCGTATAATCCCGTGCAGGCTGTACGCGCGTATTTTGCTTTACACACATGCCAAGGAACCACCATGTTATTATAACGCAGCCAAAGTTTCGGTTAACATGCAAACTTGTAAGAAGAAAAGACTGAACCGATTGTGAACACCGACGAAAGGCATGTGTAAAAAAAAAAACGTTTACAACTGATATTATAGAGATAACCCCACATAAACACCGGCAGTTTATTTACTTAGGGTACATTTAATTATTACCTCTACCTACAGTTAGCCTGTAGAATAGCAAAACAGTTTCGCAACAAATACATTTATCACATTTACTCCTTACAATAATGTCAAAACTACAGTTGTAGTAAAAAACTAGATGAGTTTTAAATTATTAGATTAAAGGTGGTGACGTTATAACTTATATACTCCTATCACTTTCTTCTTAGAAACTAAAAAAGAGAACACTTTTAAAAGATACATAATTAAATTACTTAGCACTAAACTTATTCACTTGTGCTTAATAGAGGAATATAGGTTGCTTAAAAGTGCACTAAATGTTGTTATGAACCAAAATTATGGGTGCCAGAAGGATATACAAGTTTTTTAGATGGATTATGATATGTATGGTAGATTAAAGAATAATTTAACTGTAACATTATAATAACGTCATGCGATTTCTAAAATATATATACAAAATTAACAAACACAGATTGTTAAATCAAAAAAATAATACAGTTGTATTACCCTAGCAAATCCCACATATTGTGTTAAATGCGAGGGACTCAATTACTCCAAGGCTTTCAAGATCTCAACATAGCTGGGGGCCCCGGCCGCGTTCGTGCCTCGCGGTCCTAGCCAGGCCGACTCAGTTAGCGAAACTATATAATATAAATATATAAATTATTATTATTCATTTTAAGTTTTAAAATTATGATCTATTTGTTTATAACAAACACATTTCTTGCCAACTTGTCGTATAGTTTATAATCTTGTTTATATGCGGTCGACACGACGGCACCACGTGTTTCGAGAATTCCTAGTCGTCCACCAACGTTAATCTCAAGTTCGGTCAAAGTTTCGGCAATGCGGTCCGCTATAACTTTGTCGTTTTATTTTGGTCTTGATAAAACGTTAAAGAATTCGGTATCCTATTTGCTTACCTAGTCATGGGTTGATCAGCATAGGGCCGAAAGAGATTATCTTTGGATCGGCAGCCGAATCAAAATAACCCTGTTGGGTTCATAGTGTTACTTACTGTCGAGGTGTTGTGAATGAAATATAGTTTGACCTTTCTCGAAGTTTAATTCGTTTTGTCGGTCAAGCATTGAAACTTTACTTAAGCACATTCATTTCGGAGTGTATGGTATTTCAACAGTGCCGGCCGAAGGGTCGGACAAAATTGTATATAATATATATTTACATATCTGTTCAAAATAATTGTAAATAAATAAATGCGTAATAACCGTCAGATTTATTTTAGCCGATTCGATTTAAAATATATTTACGCCCTTAAAATCCCACGGGAAATTATCACGATTTGTTTGCATCCCAGTTTGACTAACGAACGAATAATAAATACCAATACTGATTGTGGTTCGCATAAACGTCATCCTCATTATTTTTACAGACCGCGCAATATAAAAAAAAAAAATTGTACGAAAGATAAAAATATGTTGAACGGCTTTGTAAATTACTTTTTACCTAGTCGTGTTATTCAACCTACTAGTTATAACGAAATCCCAGCATTATATTATTTGATGTGAACAGTTTTAGATGAACATTTTTAGTGAAAATCAATAAGGCCTAAATAAGGTCAAATCGTACATTTGTATCTTAAGCCGGTCCCACACGACTCGTGTACTTGGCGATCATCGTCATCCGCTCACAGAATTATCGTCTTTCGTATGGCGAACATAGACAATCGTAGACGATGAACTCCGAGTCGGATGACAATTTCAACAATAGTTAACAGGAACATTCGTTATCCCTTTGACTCGTGTCACATTTACAGACAACCATCGGGAAACGCCGAGTGAAAATAATCGTCATACTTTACGATTTATTATCTCCTACACGACTCGTAAAGTATAGCGATTGACGATCATTTGCCAAATACGCGAGTCGTGTGGGACCGGCTTAAGATACAAATGTACGATTTGACGTGGAAATACATCATATCTATTTACTATCTATGGCTTGAATATACAAGGTTATCGCATATCCCCAATTTATTATCACTTCACAAAATGCCAGCGTAAGAATATAATACTGTAAATGTATTATGTAAATATATACATAATAACTTTATAAGAAAATTGATTGACTGACCCGTACGCTTACATTTATATGCAGGTGCGTAAGAAGATTGTTTTTTTACTTATTTGATTTTTAAAAATCAAGTAAGTATGGTAATTGAAATGAAAAAAAAACGAGACCTTATAACTTTAAGAGCTTGAGAATAAGAAAAAAACAAAATGCTACACACTAAAAATGAGAAGATAAATGTTTATTTTAGTTTTAAATTTTAATATAAGATAATGTACAGGATTTCATACCCATGCGGTATAATGATTTTAATTAAAAAAATGTCAGCGTGTTACGATCTTATAACGCTTAATTTTCAATTTTCTTTTAAGCTATAAGAAATAGAAAGTTATAAGCTCATTAGAAAGAGCTTGGCATGACGATTAACAAAAATTAAAAATAAATGATTTAAGTTTTTTATAATTAAAATAATTGTCAATTTTAGATATTTTTCTTTCCACTCGCAGATCCCCGAAACCGATGAACTGATTTAGGTTGTTAAGGGGCTTATTAGAACCACCTTGGCATGTAGAAAAGCAGTGAAGAGTTTCAGAACCTTATCTGATACAGTTCTTTTACTACAGAGCTATTAAATTGTATATTACCATAAATAAATAAATAAAAAGCTGAAACATACATAAAACATTTTTTTTTTATAAAATTGTTTTAAATAATTCTCCAAATATTAGAAACCAAGAAAGTATGTATGCCGAAAGTATATACTTGGAAAGTGTTCTTAGACTAAAACCTATGATAGTGAAGAAAGAAGTCTGACGATTGACAGGTTTTTGTACAAAGCTACTAACATTAAGGGGAGGGTGACAATTTTATAGGATAATCACTACGTAGAAATATGTTTGACTTTAGGAATATGTGTTAGCCATACGTTGCACAAGAGGTTATATATAGGTATTTCGTATAATACTACTACCTACTCTCCTGAGTCTTACAAGGCTTTGAACGGAGCCATCGCAACATTTAAATTATCATCGTCTCCTACGCGGCACAATTCGAAACAATGCAATAAATTAGCCTTAAACCCAAAACGAGTATATTATAATGTCTCTAATTATTGAGGCACAAAGCCGAAACGAAGATTTAATTAATAGGAAAGAGTATTACTTTTGAAAGTGCAATGCAAGTCAGGTGACCCCTAATGCCGTCTTATAGTTTTTGTTTAATTTGTGGAGTTCAACTAATTATATACATTTTATTAAATTCGTTTTAACTCAACGATCTCATTTGGGTATAGAAACGACATATTTTAATACTGCAAGTAAATTTAACTTTAATAGCTATTTTCCAATTCATATCGACTTACAAATAATAATAAATATTAAAGTTGGATAATTTGATATCACAAGGATTACAGTGTTTTAGCTGCAATATGAAGGTATTGGTTTTACCGCGTTGTTTTAATTTTTATATTTTTGTGTCTGTACTCACGGTATTTTTTTATCTAATGGACGATGGAACGATTTCTACACGTAGCTCATGCCTGTAGATTAGAATCGTACAATTACTTTAGAAGGCCAATTTGAATGGATATCTTTCCGATGTAGCGCTTCAGATTAGTCATTAGAACAGGTAGGTACTTGCAAAATCCAGATTTTGAAAAAACCGATAGATTTCTAGTAATGTGTATTACTAATAGTATTAATAGTATTTCTAATAATGTAATGTCTAAAATATATTCAATAAAAAATAAATTGTAAAAAAAAACACTGAAAAAAAGTTATTAAAATTTTAAAAGAAGTTTTGAATATTAGAAAATCAGAACATTAATTGATGGTATATGTAATAAAACATGAACAAAATTTATAGTGAATTTAGTAGTACATCGAAGAAATAAGAAAAACTCGACTATAAAATATATTGAACACATTTATTAGTGGTTTGTATGTACGTTTAATACTTTTTAGTTTTTACCTGCTATAGTTACGTAGCAAAGGTTTTTTTTTATAGTCTCCACAATGTCTCAACCCCACTGTGCTGTCTGTTTTTACTGTGTTGAGTTTAATGTTAACAAAGTAACCAAATAGCAAAAAAGGGTTTTGAAATTTTAATGAGTAGACCGCTTTTGCAGACATTTACGTGTTAAACGAAAACACGAATTGATGTTGGTAAATTTTCTGCTGGTTTGGCTTTTAGGGCGGGATTTGGGGGAAGAGGACTACCGTAAACTTTTAAAATGTTAAGGAGAACGCCGGGGAAGCTAAATAAACGCTTGCGACACTTGGAAAGTCCGTATAAAGTTTGTTCATGTATAAAAATACTTTGCAGGTTGTCTGCAGAACGAGTACCGGTGTAAAAACAGCTGCATTGATTCAGTAAAGAGATGCGACAAGTTTGCTGATTGCGAAGGAGCAGAGGACGAGATCAATTGCAGTAAGTCGGCTAGCAAATTACATCAGTAAAAACTTTTTGTCCAAAATGCACGGTGTGGAAACCAACCACGAATCGACGCTTTTGTTTAATATTATTATTATATTATTTGTTCGACCCATACAAATATCCGGATACAGTTATTGTATCGGTGTGTATATGACGTACTTTCAGTTTATCTCTCGAGTATCATCTAACCAATCAACCGGTCGACCGACAAATTTTGTACTAATAATATATTATTGTTATTTACTATAAATTTTTACTGCACGTAGTAACGTTTTACCGACGTTTTTATTTTAATGAAATTTAATCGTTTATAAATCAAAACAAATGTGAAAAACTCTAGGCTTACAATCAACAAAAACGCTTATAAACGTTAATACAACGACGATGCTTCAAACTTTTTTCCTAAATTGAGTTTTCTAACTTAGATTTTGGCTGTTTTTATTAGGTAAAAACATTAAGAAAGTAAGTTCAAGTAATATAAATTTAATAAGTAAAAATAATAGGGTCAGTTTAAGGTGCTTTCCACCTTCACTTATACAATCTATTACATTTTTCAGCTAAACATTAATTGATCATACTTAGCTTAGTAACAACATTTTAATTTTAACCCAAAATTAATTTACTCTTTTATAAATTAAATACTAATTACTAAATATGGATATATGTTTCTTTAATTCTAATAATATTATTTCAGTGTTTTAGAAGTTCCGTCGTTCTAACACTAAATTTTACAAAAATATTGGTTAATATGCGTTATAAAAATAATTCATTTTTGGTTGATACGGTCCTCTAATTCTAAAGCGACGAATATTTCAACTATTTTTTGTCTTTTCTTTTTTCTACATTAATTTCTAGTGTTGTTCTTACTGTCTATATCTCATCCTCTATCTCGTTATTACATGAACATTAAACAGCCATTTCAATCTATGTGCTCTGTCATTTTTACTATAATAGACGTCCCTCTGAAGCTTCTTAATACAATATTATTTTATCCATCCAGATAATACTGTATTTTAATATAAATAGGCGAAACACGACTATTACATGTCGTAAATTAGAAGTTTTGAATTTTTTCTGTTTGTTAGTGGGAGAAGAGGCGAGATATTTATGTGACAATTATTTTTATATACTTTATTAAGATTATTATAATTAGAACTAAACAGGATTCGACCAAATTAACCTAACCTGACAGTGTTAGTATAGAGCGAAAATATATGGGTTAAAACTAGAAACGCGAAAGGAAAAGGAAAAACAGCAACAATGGTAAATATTACAATGTTGAGCGAACACGTCTGCCCAAGTAACGGTCGATGGGATGAATCCGATAAATTGATTCGGAAGTTGTATATCTACTATTTTCAAACGTGTTGTCTAGCTTATACTAGACGTACTATAATCGGATAGTATGCTGTCTGATAAACCGAACCCGACATCGAGACGTCTGATTGAACTTTTATAGGAAACGGTAACAAAATTGGAAATGGAATAGTTTTCGGTGTTCCACAATAATTCTGCCGTACCGCAGAATTGGAACCAAATGGCCTTGCGGTATTGCATTGTGAAGAGACTCTATGCTATAAAGAAAAATTATTTTACCGCGATTTCTGACAAAAAAAAAAATATATATATAAATATTTCACAACATATGTGATTTTAACGTGCTACATCAGCCGTGCCATTCAGTGTTCAATGGACTATATAATTATTATTTTTTCCTCCATTACCATCGAAAATCAGCAATAAAATTCGGATTCACCTACAGTCGACCGCGTCTAGTCTTATCCGATTAGTTGTGGCTATTTTATATTTAGGTCACCTGGTGTACGTCATTGTCATTGTGTTGAATTAAAATCTACGTGTACACTGCACATAAAAACTAAGGTGATTAATTTTTAATAACGCAGCTATTTTATATGACGGATTGTAAATAAACGCATGTTCCTATTCGACCTTTAGAGGATCAGTAAATATTTAAAACCTTTTTAAAATTCCAAGAAACGTTATTCGACCGTTATTAACTGGGACCATCGAGTGACAAACTTTGTGGAAATTCGAGCAAATATATCCGAGAGTTATCCATCAGAGCATCTACCTTTTGTGACCCTAAGTGTTTGACGTTTTCTATCTCTATTATACAGTGACGGAAAAACGAAATAACGGTGAAGAAGTATGTAAATAACAACAAAATAAAAAATAGTTTACTATCTCTTTTCTACAATGATGGAAACCCGAAATAAGGTCGAAGAAGTATCTAAATAACAAAAAAGTAAACGAGTTTTCGAAAAATCGAATCAATCGAAAGCCAAAGCGTTAGCAAAATCCGAAAACAAAAAAAGAAACTTAAAAAAATTATATTGAAAATGTACACGTTAATAACTAATTTGGTTAGTATTACAACAGTTAATGAAAATAAAATAATGTCGTTGGTATAAACCATAATGTATTGTTTACGTCAACTCGATTGATTTTTTAATTTAAAACTTTTTTGACACAGTGTACAAAATAGACCATAGGTGTAAATCAGAAGATGAGTTATCATAATATTGTAATAAGATAATATATATATATATACACATTTTTTTATTAGAATACATTAATAATGCTAAGTTATCTAAGTTCCCTATGTTTACATATGTATTTCGTACACTTTTTTTTATGTCTTTTATGTTTGTCAACCACAACTTACAAAAGGAGGGTCACTACTTAGATGACATTATTGCCTCTTAATTAAAATTTTTTTATGGAATAACAAAAATAACATTATGTAAATTGATTTTCGGAAAAAAATGTAGATTACATTTCGTTTAAAATTAAGTGGTTTATTGATTTTTTATCAATCTGTCTACCAGTAATGAAACCTGATCAAATTGCATTTACCTAATAATTATTGTTGTTACATTAAAATGTTTGTTTTTCGACGTGACATTACAGAGACGCACGTTTGTCCTCCGACTCATTTCAAGTGCGCCAATTACTTTTGCGTGCCCACGGACAAGGTATGCGACTTTAAAGATGACTGCGGTGATGGTTCGGACGAAGAGCATTGCAGTGAGTTATTTTACTAAACTAGACTCGACGAAACGCCGAGTTAATTATACTAACAGCTGTTTACCGTGTTTCAGAGCACAGAGAGTGTTGGTACAAAGAGTTTAAGTGTAAGAATTCGGAGTGCGTTCGGCCAGCATATCTGTGTGACGGTGAGGTAAACTGCGTGGATGGATCCGACGAGGAAAATTGCGACACGAGTAAGAAAATTACAAATAACATAATATATAATTACATACATATGTATATATATATATCATAGGCAGTATAGTGAGGCATTCTTTTTAAAGTCGTCGGTATTGTTTTAACACACATCTACTGGAAACCGAAAGGCCATAAAAAGTAAGATATTTAGGAGGAGGAGGAGTTTAAACATAAAACCACACAGAGCTTGGGATTTTTAAAGTGCACTTATTCGGCGTTTGACAGAATTGAGCTGGTAAGGTTCCAATGGAGATGTAAATAAATCTTTTTTTTAAGAAGGAACGTATATATTATCTAATATACGTATGTATCTATTATATTATATGCAACGGATGTGTCATGGTCACTTGCCAAATTTTGCTTACTTTATGTGTTACAAGCATGTATGACATTTCACCGTAATACACCCTGTATAATAATTTATTATACCTAATACTTTACCAACCAAATATATTCAAAGATTACTCGCAGCCTGAAAAGGCACCACATGAAATTCCGCAGTAAAGCCAAACGGTTAACCGTTATGATATGTGTAATTCGGAGTACAGCCGAAGGCCATCGAACAGTTTTCTGAAAACACAATCCGTAAAAGCAACGTAGGAATAAATATTTTTTTCAATATCCGTATTCTGTTGGGCGCGATATAAGTTCTAACATGTACCGTAATATATGGGGTATAGCCCAGTAATCTGACAGATCCATTATACGTCATTTTTATGTAAATCGATCAGATCATCTTGATACGATCTATTTTATATTACTTTTCCCGAATTGCATTCAACTTTTTATTACATTTGTTTATATTTCTCTTTAATGTAAATTTGTTTATTTAAATATTTACCTACAGACCGTATCACACTGTTTTGACAAACAAAGTAGGTATAATACTTATTATGAAGAGTTCAGGAGAAAAAGCAAACAGTGACATAAAAACGATTAAATATATTAAATCGTAATTTATTGCTCTCGTACAAAATGCAAAAACTTAAATTTGTATTGCTAGATTTTTTTAAATTAATATGTTACCTAATGTGAACAACGGAAGTTCAGGATATCGGGGCTGTTAATAATCTCAGTGGTAAGAAATCTATAAAAGGTTATTTATGTGTGATAGGGGAGGAGGGCAGAGGAAAAAAAGACCGGAGTACGCTCGAAAATGGGGCGGAATGGACAAAAATGAGGAATGAGTGCACAGGAAAGAAATAATGACCAAAACCTAAAAGGACGTAAACGTAATATATTCGCGTGTAAGATTAAGACCATAATTTATTAAGTACACACATACTGATAAGGCGATGTCACGAGGGAGGAAGGGATCAGGAGTACCAACCTAGCCTAATTTAACCTAACCACAACATGCACGTAAATTATTTATATATCATGTATAAATAAGTAATGAGAAGTCCATGTGGTTTTAAGAAAAATGGCCGTTGGGGTACCAAGGGAATCAGCAGTCTTGTTACTAATGATCCTGGAGTGTCCGGAGGCCCAAAGGAACTGCAATACTGCCAGTAGGGGATTGACGGGACAAGTGAGATCTATTGAAAATAAAGAGGAATATTTTTAGAAGTAAAGGGATTGGGAAAAGGCAAGAAGGCAGGCTTGAGAACCGTAGCACATCAGGAATCATAAGTGTGGAGTCTAAAAATAATAATGGAATATTAAAAAGTTAACAAAAAACGTTTTGACGTTAACATTTCTTTTGGTTGAGAGTCTACCAAAAAATGTGAGTCAGATTTTTTTGATCGATTTGTACGACGTCATAAGTGTTCATGATCCAATATCCTTCCCAAAAGGGATTTATTTCTATGCTTCACTTTAATAGTCTGACAAAAAAAGGTAAAGTATAGAGATATTATGTATTTTCAAGAGCTTTTTAATATTTATAAAAAATACTCCTATTGTTTAAAAGTATTTTCGAAGAAAGAAAAATCGTGATTTACGTAAAAGACTATTCATATGAAATGGTATATTTTATATTTTTAAAAACTGCGTGACGTTAGGACAATTTGTATAAACATTGTCGTGTCTTTGTACTTGGTCACATATATACACCTCTGAGTTGAAAAGAGTTAAATTAAAAATATACCTCGTTAAATGTGTAAATCGTTTGATGGGTTTTGTTATTAAAACAAACTCGACAACATTTCGAAAATCGAAAAAAAGAGAACAATGTTTATTCAATGAACGTTGTATCGTCTTTTAAAATTGAAAGTCGGTAAAGTATAAAAATATGCGTACATTTTTAATAGGCTCTATTGCTGGTTCCCTTAATAATTCCACGATAAACAGTTCAAATTATTAATAAATACCTACTACCGAAACAAAAAAAAGCGAAGGGAGTATACAGTACCAACTATCAGTTTAATATTTCCATATTACAATAACTCTTTTATGGCTATGTTTGTAACCGGTATTTTTTGGTGGTATTTGCCCTATATTTTTAAGGTTTGTGCTCACCAATATATTGCATTATATATGCATTACAGCACAATATTTATGTAAACGTTAATACTCTGCTGATTTATGATCCGATTTGAAACATAAATATGATTTGCATAACAGGCGTCGTTTTTCCTTAAAATTTTACTATTACTAGAACTATACCTACTCTATGTACATGTTGTGTATGGCAAAAAAAAAAACAAAACATTTCTTGATAGTAATTTGACTATGTGTGTGAGTTAATTTTTTTTTTTTAATATGATTATAAGGCTTGAATGGGAAGTGATTTCCATTAAAAATATGGAAATATTTTAAGAGTACTCGATAAATATTGTTTAGAAACTAGAATAACGTGTACTTTACTGGTTAATACATATAATATTTTAAACCGCTGCAGTCAAAATAATGTTATTACTCTGATTTACGACCAGGATGAACTGGAATTCTTCTCGTCTTTGTCCTGTACTATTTATAGTATATTATATTTTATGGTGTTTTTTGTGCCGACTACAATGTATCCATATCATTCATCACCATGAGGACAATGGAACGAATTATACTTTTGCGTTGTGTTTTGTTGATGACAATCGCTACTGTAAACCAGGAGAACCTATAAACCGTAGATTTTAATTACATTTTCAATTCTGTAGCTCATAGTATAAGTCTTCGGTGATCCGCCTAGCAAAATTGTTGGCTATTAAATCCAAAAATACCACTTACTTCGATAGTGTGTGGGGATGTGTAGAGTGACCAGAAGTTTTAAAGTTCAAAGCGGGATGCTAAGTTTTTAGGGGAGGGTACTGTAAAAATAAAACACTAAAAATTTAACCACTTTAACTTGTATTATATTTTTCTGTCGAATAATGTTTTTTTTAACAAATGTGGTGACTCTTTTAAATATTTATAAAACTGTTGAAATTAATATTTTTTTTAATGTCTCAATTTCCCGGATGCAAAAAATGATATGAAAAAAATATATTTTACAGAAAATATCACCCTACTAGTTTGGGTTACATACGCGTTGTTATCGTATTTGTATAGCTTACTTATAACAATTGTAGTTTTTATATAAATTACATTTTTTTTTTACCGAAAAAATACCAGCGATATAAAAAGTTTTTGGACGCATTACATACCATTTGTATTGAATGTGATAAACAATTAGCTTAGCATAACGTTCATTTGTACACAGTATGTCCTCTAAAATCCAATGTGACATCCAGAATGTTTAAAATTTAATTTATTTTTGTAATATTATATTTAAAAATATAAGTTAAATGGTCAAAATTCTGGATTAAAGTTAATTAAAGAGAAGACATGTTTAAAATTTCGATTTTCTCTTAGTGGCGTAACTAGAAACTAAAGCCAGGGGTGAGACATTTTTTTGCGCCTTATATTACATATTAACGTGTACAGTAGTACACCATACAAAAATGACCTTAAATGCGTCGTTGAATAGGTTTTATTTTTCGAGGGCAGTTATCGATACTAAAAAATAATATTTTAACTTAAATTGGATTTAGTTTGAGTGTCAAGGGAACATTTAATTTTAAATATTTTTTAATGATTTCATTATACTACATACACTAGTTTGGCTACACAATGCACAAGTTGGATACAACATTTCTAAGTCATAGTGTCCCGCCAAGTTGTTTACAATCGTACTTTTCTTTTAACAGTTTGTTCCCGAGTCCAATTTCGGTAATGGCGGTTTAATACATTTAATTTTAATTATTGTAACTATATTTAAAAAAACACTTAAACTAGGATTAATATTTTAAACTATTTTTCTGTAACTAAATACATAAGTATTTAGTATTTATGTTTTTTTAGTTAATCTAGAAATACAAATAAAAAAAAGTGTGTAACATTTTTTATCAGAGAGGCGACGATCCAAATGATCAGTATGGTGGTAGTATTGATGTTTTAGTTCAATATAATAATTTTCGATTTTAGTTCAGTCACCATTTTTTAGGAACATTTTAGCATTCTAGTCATCTATATTTAGTGGACTGCGTATGCAATTCACACAAACCTTAACGATTTATTAGATTCCCTTTTTTCAAAGTTTTCGTTGTAGTGATGGTATGTTTAAAGCGCTGACTGTGTAAAGTTGAAGTTTATGATATAAAAATACAGTTAATACTGATTGGTGCGCTTATGTTTGTTTTTATCTTTAAGTACTTGTTTTTATCAAAATACAGATTAAAATTAAACCATACGAGCCACGAGTTGATATTTATTTATAAATAACATACAATTTATAACAAAACAACTACAAATTCCATAATCGCAAACGCGCTATATTTGCACATTATAATAGAATACACCATTGCCGGGGAAATAGTGTTAGGGGAACGCAGGTTTATGTCAGGTCGGTGTTAGTATGTCGTGTACGTCGATTTGCATATACTGTCGCTCGGATTCTGTTATCGAAACAAATAGAAGTATTAATCCGGTTAGTTTGACTTGTAAAATATAACGATGGGGGTCTTGGGGCTTTTTGCAGGCGATTTCGTCAAATGCGGCACCGGGCAGCTGGTTCATTCTGCGTTCTGGTGTGACGGATGGCCCGAATGCGAAGACAACCATGCAGACGAATTACAATGTAATTTTTCTTTGATGTTTTCACACATATTTAGGATGTAATGAAATTGTGTTGAGACCGATGAGGCCGACAATGACGATTGCGTTATGGACGTTTGCCGGTGATTGACGGACTTCCGATTTGATGAGGTTGCTTCCTTTTTCTTAGGCAACCGGACGTGCGCCACCGACCAGTTTCGGTGTCCGAACGGCAGGTGCATTAACGAGGCCAACGTTTGTGACGGACAGTGCGATTGTCTGTGGGACTCCAACGGGGCGTGCGCTGACGAGACTCACTGTTCGGATTACTACTCGCTCACAGACGGTAAGTACCTGTACGAGTATAGGGACTGTATAAGGTTTTACAATAGGGATTTTGCGGCATTAACTATTAACGTTCATCCGCCGGAAGTCGTCATCGCCGTCATTAGCCTGCGACAAAATATCACCGACCGCGTTTCTACATACTTACACAATATAATATTACAATTTACAGACGTTCCCGTGGTACATTATTCAGTCACCGAAGGCGAAATAACGTTAACGGCTCACGAGCACTGTAATGGTATTAGTTTCCATTCGTGTTTCGGGGACGGGATAAATTAAAATTCAACGAAAGCGTCGCCAATTTAGCTTCCAAACGAAAATGCACGGTCCCGCGTTAACGATGTCCAATTGAAATTTTAACACCGCAATGGTTCTAATTCGACCTATTACGTAATAGACACACTCGGGACTTTAGCTACCTACAATTAATTGTCAAATATAATCGCCCGGACCGTTATTTCGGGTGTAATCTAACGGAAAATATAACTTCTATATCGCACCACATCGCAACTGGTAAACGGTTCGTTAAAATTCTACAAAGCAGTGATTGCAGGTACTATTAGTTGCACACATCTCTCAAAAAGTAAAATAAATAATTTAGCAGTAAGATCCTTTATAGCTAGCCAACGGTTGTATAGTATTTTCTTATAAATTGATGAAATCAATTGTTATTGCAATAAAAATAATAATAATAATATTTCCAACGATTTTATTGGCGCCTGACTCCTATTTTGATGGGTCACATGACTTTCTTGGTTATGGAGCTAAAAAGATCAGAAAAGTGTTGATATTTGAAAATCGATAATCTCGGGATTAGATACCCAGGATACCGGTATTTCTTCGTGGGATACATGCAATATATACATAGTGTTTCACGACGGCCTAACAAATTTACATATAATTTCTATGTTAATCTCTCAGAGTGTCAGGTCACGTGTCATGTCACGCGTTACACCCTTTATGTGTAAATGTATACACACATGGTAAACAGTCTAATGCGATTATATAGACAATCTGGTTAAATCTCTTGCCGTGTTGTCCTACGTTTGCAGTTCGGGGTTTTCGTCCCAGTACATATTAATTGGCTAAATTGTTTAAATGTATTGTTCGCGGTTTGTATCCACCTGTACTTCCGGTGTATTCGACAATCAGTGCGTTTAATTAACCGCAGAACTCCTATAAATTATTGTGATTTACGTGTTTCTGTATGCGTATGTTCTGTTATGTAGGGGTCGTCGTATGCCGGCGAGGGTCGTCGCTGAATTGTTGGATGCCCGAGGGATCATCGTCCCGGTGCATTAAGGAGCGGTACATCTGCGACGGCCGTAACGACTGTTTCAATGGATTCGACGAATTCGGTTGCGGTAAGAGCGGTATTTAAAAAACAATTTTTCTTATAAAATGTTAAACGTCCGTCGTTGGATTTAATGGCCTAGTTACCGAAAGTTTTGTGCAGAAAACGAATACATCCATACCTATTTACTTTACGGTTTGCTTGGACTTGCGTTTTGTATCCCTCGAGTATCACAGATGATTTTAACATTTTTAGCGTAAACGGCTGGGGCATGATGCTACATTCATCCTATAATCCTAGTATAAGATTAATAGTACTTAGCAGTATCCAAAAACGCTTTTATTTGGCCAATACGTTGGTACAAATACATGTTCTACGGTATTTATAAGCCACCAGACTCTGTCAGTGGAAATCGAAAAAGAAAATCTCCCTAGACAATCTTTCGTCGATGTTTTTTTACCAATGTGAGCACTAAATCTCTTTGAACGAAATGTGTTGGGTTATTTAAAAAAAAAATTGGCTTTGACCCGTTTAACTAACGTGTTTTAATTTAAAACAATAAAAACGTTAGTACAGTGGGTCGGGGCAAAGTGGTGATGGAGTATATTGTGACGGGTCACGCATCTACGGGGATTATTATAACTTAAAGTGGTAAATCATTTTCAAAAAACTTTACATGATAAAAGTATTAAAGTACATAAATCATTTGGTTGATAATAAATGTGATTGCAATCATGTTATTTTATATTTTTAGATGTCCCCGCTAAAATACGTGACTACAGATATTTTTTTAAGTTTATTATTATTATTTTTTTAGGAAAATTATATACTGAAGATATAGACTAGATGATTGAGAATTTAATAATACATGTAAAACTTATTTAACATTAAAAAATAATGTATTTAAATAGATAAAAGCGTAATTGTTTTAAAATAAAGAAAACAATTTATGCATAATCCAGTAAGATTTACTAGGGCATACTTGTTTGATGTTATTTTTGATAAAATCTCAAAATGACTACGAATGCCAAGATTTGCATTGTATTGAAAACAAGAGGGAATAAATGAAATATAACCATAGCCGCAGTATTCGTTTAAAGCTTTTGGTTCTATATTTGTAGTATATTTCTATTGTCAAATTTTCAAAATTAATTAGTTTCACCTTGTGCGGTATTTCACAAATGACGCCCACGATTAAAGTCCTACACAATAGAAACCCGATGACAAATGTAATTCAAACTTAAGGTTACTTTGGTCGTTTTTCAAATGCAATGCTTAAATCCTAAGATAAGCCCAGAAGTCTCGAGTAAAAATTTTAATGAAACTGCTTGGACTGCAAAAGAAGAAAGGATCCGAGGTCGTTTAGTTTTAGTTTTGGATTTATGCTGATGAATCGGTACACCATGCGTTCGGTATATAGCTGTTAACCGCACGATATGCTTACAATTATATTCTAAGTACTAAGACTTCATTAAATAACAGACTGCAATTGCCCGCCTACGGCCTAGTAAAATACGAAGGCGGATCCAGTACCAGTAATTTTTCACTCATACCATTGTCTTCATTATTCTAATTGACCTAACATTTAAAACTATAAAGTATACAAGATAATTCATTAAGGATACGACACTAATTTTTTCTTAAAATTATTTTAATTTCAATTTTGTTGGTTTTTTAAAAATATATTATTTATGTTATCTTACAATATTATAAAATTATTAAATATTTAACTTTTTTAATAACTTTTTTCCAGAGCTCTATCAACTTTCCAACCTTAAATGATAACGTATATAATTAATTAACTTTTTTTATCGAATTTTGGATAATTACTTTTAAAGTAACTAAAGTTTAAATTTAAGAACGTTTTGAAGGGTGGAGAATAGTATCTAATATTTCTATATGAGCGCATTATTTAATTGCACTATCCCGTTCTAAATTATAACTTAAGTAATTTAATATTGAATTATTCAAAACTGGTTAGCGATCAGTTAAAATTGTTAACAAATTATTTTTAATTTGAAATATTAATTAAATATATACGTTGCTGTTTAATTGATACATCTTTAGGAAAAAAAATTTGAGTATTGTTTAATATTGTAAAGTAACATAAACTAAAGTATCTTCAAAAAGAAAAACTACAAAGTTGCAGTTGTTTTAAGATAAAACGAGTATCTGTTCTTAATGAATCACCCTTAATGCTATAACAAAACAATTCATTTAAACAGAATTTTTAATTCTACAAAATCGATGTATAGTTTTTTTGGTAAAATTGTTTTATATGAAGTCGTTAATGAAGGAAATTACAATTATCATAACAATAACGTTAAAACGCTAAAATGTTTACCGACTTAATGTTCATATAAGAAGTATAAAAAAAACTAAAACAATGTTTCGAGTTTATTGAAATAATTAACAATTGCTTAAAATATATTATATGATCTTCAGACAAGCGAAGGAAAGAGGCACGTAAGAGTTAAGAAGAGAGATGTCTGTAGATTATTGGTCAAGGCTCAGGAATTTTTTATAGAGAAATAATTAAAAATGAAACAAATATATATAAAATTGCTAGTTCTAAATAGTTTTAATTATAAAAACCAGTAACTTTGTTCAGGGTTTTTTGTTTTAATTGTTAATATATTGACGATATTGTACTTATTTAAAAGTATAGTTTTAAAGGGATATAAAGCTTTTTAACATTTTCTGTAAAGCTGAGGCTTTTGTTTTAATTTATATTATTTATAAAAGTACACTTTTATAGTTATATTATACTGTATAGTAGAGTTATACATATCGATTTTTTCAAAGTATTTACTTTTTCGGTTCTTCTCTACTGTCATGTAAAAATATATATATTATATAATATATTAGGTCTCACTGTTTTGTATTTTTAAAATAAATCAACTTAAAAAACTTCTACAAACTGCCAAGACATGTGCCATAAAAAAGAAGACTTGTATTTGTGTGCCCTATATGAGTTCTTTATGTTAGGGTTGAAGGTATAAACAAATAAATAACAATCAATACTAGGAAAAAATACGCCAATTATAAAATTTTGGTTGCCAAAATGATAAAATGTATAATGAAACATTGATATTAAAATCATCATTATTGTTAAAACGTAGATGGGCTAACATTAACTAAAACATGTAGGTATATTACATACGTTTTTAATATACTCTTCCGATAATTTATTTGATTTACCGGGTTTATTGTAAGTTGTCGGTTAATCAATGTTATATGAGTTAAAATCAATAAGGTCGCGGGAATAGAAATTTAGTAATAAATTAAAAAGCAAGCCTTATTTATCTCACCTGAAATGTAACGTTTAAAAGACTTTTTAAAGTAATTTTTCATTCGAATAAGGGATACACAGATCGCTAGATTACACTAGTATTCTTCAAATCATCAACATTTAAACAGTTATTTGTGTGATAAATAATAGTAATAAATTAATTAATTAATAATCAGAAAATTGCTTCAAGATACTTTCAGCATACAACCGATGTTGCATTTCCATTATTTATGTATGATAGAATGAAAATTTAAAACAACCAGAGGTCTGGTGGCAATTAACTAAATACCTATACCTTTACATAGAGACATTACAGTGCTTATAAATAATTCTGCCGTTAAGGGCATGAAATACCAGAGCGACAGTGTTTATTGTAGCTTTTATCTTGTAGTTTACCGCGACTTATTACCTAGGCCTCTGGCGACTATTTTGGATTCAAAAAAATGCCAGTAGCCGGAATATTGAATGATGCATAAACATTTATATTATGTATTGTTATGATACTTAGTAATAAGGTCTTTTATATGCTCACATACATTTAAGCAACATTGTTTTTATAATTTCTGAATTGAAACGGAATGGAATGTTTATTTCTTAATACATTGTTTTTATATCCATTTATAACTATCGTCCTACAGAAGATGAAAGTTCGAAAGATGTGGAACGTTACGATATGGAAGACGGTTTGTTTCAATGTCGTGACGGTCGGTGGCTAGACATTTCTGGTCATGTGTGCAATTACCGAGACGAATGTCTGCATGGCGACGATGAACTTAAGTGTGGAGAACAGCCGGCTTGTAAGACCAAACAGTTCAGATGCGACAATGGGGAGTGTATAGAAGGCATCGGCCGGTGTGACGGTCACACCAACTGTTGGGACAAGAGCGACGAAATAGGATGTGGTAAGTATCTTTTACCGTACAAGTAGGTACAAATGTTTAAATTATATATTTTAAAACAGCTACTTTTCGGGTTGATTTTTGTAATCTTTTACATAGAAATGTTTATTGAAGATCCAACATTATATTTGGTTTTCCAGTTTTACTAAATGTAATCTAAAAAAAAAAAGGTAGATTCTTACACTCGTAGGAAAAAACATAAGATCATGAACATGTCTTATGGCACATTCAGTTTTACTTGCAAATGAAAATTCGGGAAGTTATAAAACCTTTAACCAGGTCTATGTGATTTTTAAAAAGTATTAATGTAAATATTGGACCTTTCGTTTTTGTTATTTTGTATTATTATTATTATCCATATTTCTAATTTTATTTATGTTGTGATCATTTTTGTGTCATTTTATTTGTCATTTATATTATAAAATTACGTTTGATGCTTGCATATAAATAAATAAATAAACATATCAACGGCTTGGGTACTTATGCGGTAGAGTAATTGTTGGTTTAATAAAAAATGATCAAAATTGTATTTTATAAAAAAACATTAACAAACAAACACAAAAATTTACTTTAAATATAATATAATTAAAAAAATGTTTATTTTGTTTGTATCATAATATATATTGTATTATATAGGTAGAAAAAGGTTTTTGTGGAAAAATACGGTGTTTCAATAATATTAAATGGAACTATTAAAAAATATACACTGTTTACTTCGAGCCCATTGTTTGAGTCGCAGCATAACTTGGAATATATAATCTAAATTGTAAAAATAAACGAGAGCACTACGTAAATAAGTTCTTAGCAATGCACCCAAGCTAAACAAATCGTATTCCCGCTTTGATCACCCATATAAATTCTTTGTGATAAAAAAAAGAAATTATAAAGATTGTTTTTTTAATGAGAAACTTTTTTTTAAAAGATTTTGATAGTGTTGTATGTACATAATGAGTTCGTTTTGATCGCGAAACGGCGCAAAATTGTTCAAATTGAGTAAATATACAAACACAATTCATTAAGTAAATTATGTACCTACTGTTTGCACTTTTTTTTTCATATAAATAATTTCTTGTAAGCGTGCGTCAAGGTCTTATTGCGTTGTATCTGCACTAAAAAATAATGAAAAAATAAAACGTTTTTCGAGGGCATATTATTACAACTTTGGAACGGAACATACAAGTGGGGTCCCTATATGCTACTGTTCCAACAACACTATAAAACCCTTCACGTGACACGAACACGCTTGGTTATTGGTAACCTACACAAGCTGTAACCGTAAACATGTATACGGATACCACCGGTGATAATTCTCAACTTTTAATTCAGCAAAACAAGAGACCATTTGTGGCCGAAAATGTTAATTTATTCCAGTGTCACGGCTGACACTGACGGTTGAGTTTACTTGTTAGTGTTTCGCTAGTATACTAATTGTAAGTGGTGACATATGACGTATAATCAAAATGTTTGTTCAGTAACAGATTTTTCCAAGAACACGTGTATTGTAATTTTTAACATCATTTATACAAATGAGAGAAATCGGTACAAGCGGACAGCTCATTTCAGTTTATAAATTATAAATTATTTTGTTTAATGATACTGCTAGCTACAACCAAGCTCACGGCAAACGATAATATTGTTCCGTCTTCTATAAAATTAAAACGTTTCTCTCACTCTTGATAAAAAGTTCCATTATGTTTTCAAATGATGTATAATTCTTTAATTTTTACCCATTCAATATGTATATTTCGCGACCGGTGTCATAAATAAGTTGATTTATCGGCCCAACATAAATAATTTTACACACTACACGCTAAGGCTAGACACTTGCGGAGTTATAATTTATAATTATATTATATACAAGACCATTTAATTAATATTGAGTAATATAAAAAAAAAACCTTTTACTTAATAATAGTATTATAGCGTGTATAATACCATTTAAATCTTAATGTAAAACTTCCTTGATGTCGCATTTGATTCTAAACTGATATAATTAACGGTAATGGGTTTACCAGATTTTAATGTAATTCGCCAATGACAATAATTCCATTGACAATAGATAATGGGCTGGTCATGTCTGGCATTCGCGTAGTTGTGTTGTTTGGCAATCGGTTTAGTATTGGTATTAGTTATTATAGATTTTTTTTTTTTTTATATAAAATACAACATTCATTTTGAACGGATTTCGTTTTTGTTAGCGATAGCGTGTACTGTTGAATTCGAAAAACAGCTGCTATTGTACTGTAATGGGTGTGGTAATTTGCAGCGAACGTGGCTTGTGTCCAAAAAGATTGGCCCAGGTGCACGACGGGTGGACAGTGCATTTCGCCGGATAAGTGGTGTGATTTCCGAAAACACTGCTCCGACGGTTCTGACGAAAGCAACTGCAGTAAGTTTAATAATCTATGCATCTATTCGACTAATTGGATTAAATAATTATATTGTATCGTTATATAATAATATAATATACTATTGCACAGAACACAGAGCGTGCGAAGTCAACGAGTTTCGGTGCGATAATGGACAGTGTATACCGTTACAACACAAGTGCTTCGATACGGGCGACGATTCGTTGGGCTGCGCGGACAAATCTCATTTGAAAAACTGCAGTAAGACTATTTTATTTATAATTTAAAATATGTCCCTAGTGGGTCGAGGCGCGCTCTAAAGATTTTTATTCCCGTTGCTGATGTCGTAGTCATGGACTTTAAATTTTCTATTTTATTTTTCGTTTGTTTTCTAGTTGTGTTCTTTATACGTAATCAATAGGGCGGAGCGCCGTACTACCTATTTTATTAGGGAGTTAAATTAAGGCAATAATTTACAACGTTTTAATTAAGAATTTTAACTATATAGTGTATAGCGTTTACTATATCTATACATAATTTACTATAATATAGTCTTTTTTTTTAACTAACAAAGCCACCCGTGAAATTACAATTTTTCCTATAAAACCTAGGCTGTGTTTCAAGCAGGTATCGAAAACGATTTCAAGACAATGTTTACGTTACTTACAATTTAAACTAACACAAGTTGCTTTAAGTAATTAATATAATGATTTTTGGTTAGGCTACCTGATTTAAAAAAAAAAAAACATTTTAAAATTAACTTAAGAACAATATAAACAGATCGTTTCTGGAGCGAAACGATCTGTTTATATCGTTTCAAAAGGCATAACTCGACTTAAAAGTGCATTTAAATGTATATTTTTTAAACTAGTTTGAAACCAGTTAAGCCATCAGAAAAATATACTATTTATAATTTTAATCAATATTTAGTGTAGCTATAACAAATAATGTAATTTTTCACATCGAAATATTTTCAATCGTTGATTTATTAGAGCATTTCTGAGTACACCTACAACTATAATAACGTCTAAAAGATAATAGACTCAACTTTTTATGGCTATGGACGTTCTATTACGTGGCGTGCAAACAAATCGTTTCCTACTACATAGGTACTATTACAGTCGTGTGATTAGGACATAGTGGGACAAAGCAAATTATGTTCGGGGAGTCACAGGTCTTCTAAAAAAAGGAATTTGTAATTTCGAAAGTACACCTAAAAAAATATTTCACGTAAGTGTTGAAGTAGTTCAAATATTTAAAAAATGTAATTGTAAATTTAACAAATTACGGCGATGAAAAATGAGTAAATTTTTAGAATGTTTTTCTCAATTTTGAAGCGACACTAAATTTTGAATTTGAAATATTTAGCCTAACGAAGTACTATTCTAACCTAGCTAGTGGTATTATACCATATCCATTTATACAGTTTTTTTTATTTTTTATTTTCTATTTCTTGTAATAATAAATGTTAATCGAGAATTATGAAGATTTTTACCAATGTCTTGGTATCTTGTACGGCAATATTATTTATTTATGAATATATACGCCCTCAAGGTCAAAGAGTACAAATATTTAAATATCATAATAACAACAACAATAACATTTGTAAAAATTAATTAATCTAAATAAGACTTTAATTGAGTATGTGTATTATGAAAGAAATCAAAATTAGCGTTATTGAATTCATTATCCGCTTACATTAAACGATTTAATGGAGAATTCATACTATATTTACACCAAAATACCGGAACATAAAAAAAGATTGAACTTCGTAAATCATGATTTAAAAATCTTATTTTAAAGCCACCATTATTATAAATTTAGGAATTTGTTACAAGACCTAATAAGTAGAGACACATAATATAATGTAAACTTTACCTGGAGGTATGAAAAGTTAACTATGTTATTTCTTCCTTTCATTGTTCATTTATTTTACGATAGGCGATTGGAAGTGTCACGAAGACCAGCACAAATGCCACCGGGGACCATGTATAAACCAGTCTTTAGTATGCAACGGACAAGTAGACTGCGATATGACGTGGGATGACGAGGACAATTGCAGTAAGCTCGGGTTTTTGTTTTTTTTATAGCAATAAAAAATTCGACATTTTGAGCTTAAGCTTGAAATTTAGAAGCATGATAATGTTTTTAGGCTTCGTGAGCGTAAATAGTACAGAGGGGATGGGGAGGGGAGATTTTGCATGACGGAAATATGTCTCGCGAAAAATCTCATGCATTTTTTGGTTGATCTCAGCTTAAAAACATTATCATGGTAGTATTATTATAAATAATAATGATTTGGGTTATTTTTTAATTTTAGCTTTCAAATGTTCCAACGAGGCTCTCGGTTGTGACTGCCAGGATGTACTTATTAATTGTACTGGTCTTGGGTTACGCGAGTTCCCGTACGACGCAGAGAAGGAGATCACGTTTTTGTGAGTACATAGCTGTGTTAGACTTTGTAATCCTTTAAAATAAACTCGATACACCCGTTTTATATTTAAATTCGATGAGATTTAAAAGTTGTACAACGGAAATTCCGAACTTTTTTACGACAACTACTAACGACGTTTTCTTTCACGTGAAGTCATTTAGGAGGCAATCGGTTCGGAGGAAAATTGGATGCCAATACTTTCAAACACCTGGACCGCTTGGTTTACTTGTAAGTGATCAATATCTACAGTGTTAGTGCAAACATAAATTACCTATGGTTTTTTTTTCGTTTTTTATGCATATCCAGGGATCTATCTAACAATTCCGTCCAACAGCTCGAACCATTCCTTTTTTCTACGCTATGGCGGTTGACTACGTTGAATTTGCAAAACAACCAGATCACTGTTTTGCGTAACGGCTCATTTTTGGGCCTTGGCCGAGTGACAGGGCTGTAAGTTTGATTTTAAGAGGACGCCACACCGGCCATTTCTAAGGAGTAAAGTATAGGATATTTTTCAAAAAATCTTAATTTAGACTATAATTTTAGATTATAAGAATTTTAAACTATAATGTATTCTTATTAATACAGTATTGAGGATACTTCGTTGATTGCCATTTTTTTTGTCAGACTATCACAGTCATTTTTATAGGATAAAATACAATTTTTTGCCATCAAAACTCCTTTGCGCGGATTAATTTTTCTCAGGCTTCATATATAGTTAAGGAAATAAATTCATAAATATTATTTATGACAAAATTATCCGTATTTTTTCGATATACCTAATACAACCAACGCTATATCATTTTTAAAAAAGTAAAAAAAGTCCTTTCTTAATTAATTAATTATTCATTAACTGGTTGAAATATTAAAAAAAGGGCAATGGTAGAACACAGACAATGTTGTTGTCTATATTATGTAAAAATTTGGTTTCTTAGTTTTGATTAAAACTTTTGTAAAATTAATCTACGCAAGGCGGGTTTTTTGAAGAAAATAACGGGTGTGTGACGTCCTCTTAACATATTTGGTTAACTTGAAGATGCTTATGGTAATGCTCAATAGTGTGCACTGAACTAACATCATTTTAATACCCTTTAGACATTTGCAAGGCAACAACATTCGACAATTAGATTCGATGGCGTTCCATGGGCTATCGTCGTTAATGACACTGTAAGTATATACTAAGTTTATCGTTACGCTGTTTGGATGTTGCTTAATGCTCAATGACTTTGTCAGGGACTTGAGCCATCAGAACATTTCCGAAATCCAATCAGATGCTTTCGTGGGTCTCAGATCTTTGAGACGTTTGTAAGTAACTTTTTATGATGATTTTCTTAGCGTTTTGATCCTTCATTTTTTTTTTTTTTTTTACAGAGATTTGTCCGAAAATTCTCTTACTTATTTATCGGATGGTACTTTTCGCGGAATGCCTCAAGTGATGTTCTTGTAAGTATATTCTGTTTGGCGTTTCATGTATGATCAGAATTGTGTTTATTGTTTGCACATTTAACAGGGACCTCAAGAAAAACCGATTAAGAGTAATCGAATCAAATGGGTTTCATACTATGCCTACTTTGGAAACGCTGTGAGTGACCATTAACGAAAAATTAATTTGGAATTTTACATTTTATTTTGTGAATCACTAGGTTCACTGACGAATTCCGTTTCTGTTGCTTGGCCCGGCACGTGCTACAATGCCGTCCGCTGCCGGACGAGTTCAGCTCATGCGAAGACCTCATGTCCAACATGATGCTTCGGGTGTGCATTTGGATACTAGCAATCGTCGCCATCACTGCCAACCTGATGGTAATCGTGTTCCGGGCCAAATATAGGCATACCAACCAGGTGCATTCGTTTTTGATCATCAACTTGGCATTGGGCGATTTTCTCATGGGATCTTATCTGCTGGTCATCGCTGTTGTGGATTGGTACTACCGTGGCGTGTATTTCATTCACGATTCTGACTGGCGGCAGAGCTCTATGTGCAACGTTGCCGGGTTCATCAGCACTTTTTCAAGTGAATTGTCCGTGTTTACGTTAACGGGTAAGTAATAATTGTGAACGTCACATTAATATTTAACAACAACGTGTGTTAATACATTGGGTTATTTCTCGTTTGTCAAGTCATTACTTTGGAACGACTGCTGGTCATCATATTTCCATTCAAAGTCCGTCGCCTGCAAATGGATTGCACCCGTATGCTGATGGCTATTTGCTGGTTACTGGCTATTGTTATTTCCGTCATTCCCCTATTCAACATCCACTATTTCAGGTTGGTATGATAGAACCAAACCGCAGATTCGTGAAATTATAAAAAAAACAAACGTTTTACGAATTTTTTTTTTTATGCAGAAATTTTTACGGACGTTCCGGTGTTTGCTTAGCGTTACACATTACTCCCGACAAACCCAATGGTTGGGAGTACTCGGTGTTCATATTTTTATGTAAGGTTTCATTGGGAGACGTTAATGTTTTACATCTAATTTCTTTTTCAACAACCATTTTTATTCCCCTAATCAGTCGTCAACTTGGGATCATTGTTGCTGATCTCCGGCAGTTATTTGTGGATGTTCTTCGTAGCCAAGACTACCCACCGAGCTACAGAAAATCTCATAAGACATCGCGCGCTCAGCGAATCCGCGATGGCGTGGCGTATGAGCTTGCTTGTAGCTACGGATGCTGCGTGTTGGGTGCCTATTATAGGATTGGGTCTCTGGTCTTTAGCCGGATTTACTGTACACCCACAGGTAAGACTTCACACATTTCTTTACTGCATAGCAATTTGCAATTAACTATAGATTTATTTCTGCGTTAATAGAAATATTTTATAAGTTATAAAAAAAACATTTCATTTATAATTATAGATTATACCTAGTCTTGAATAAAAGATAGATATATGTCACATCTCGAGTCTAAATAAGGATTAAGGAGTTTTTCAATGCCGCCAACAGTAAGGATATAACATAGCAACTTTTTGTTTTGCAAAGCGTTGTTACAACATAATATGTTTATATATTTTGAGAAGAAGTGAAACAAGCGACAACCGATAAATGTAACTTTGGTGACTTTTATGTTAACAAGTTTTTATATTTCACGAGAGAACATGATTTCAAGTTTACTATTAACAGTACAATTCTATAACAGTTTAATATGACAAATCCAAAAAAGTTACTAAATTAATAGAAAAATTAAAATATTCATAAAAAGCTGTACTAATTATTATAAAACCGACTAATGAGTACACGAGTACCGAATACTCTCATTCACCTCTAATGACACCTCATTGTGTCATTAGAGGTTCATAATTATTATATAAAGTTTTTGGTTTGGTCTAACTTTTTTATACGAAGATATATATATATATACATAAGTAGTTGATTTTTTAAACTAATAACCTTTTATGTATTTTGAGGTATGATATCTGGTCGTTTAAATGCTACTCAAACAAATGGGTTCAGTAGTTCTGAAGTTACCATGGGTACAGCAAACACAATATCATGGGAAAATTGATATTATTTGAGTTTCGTACATATAATTGCCATTATATAAACAATAATAGTATGTGTATTATATAAACATATTATCTATTTATTGTATGTATTGATTATACACTAGAGTATTGACACAACTATAAGAACATGTAATTGTTATACTAACCTAAAATTCATGCAGTTTGACTGTTTGAGTTGTGTTACTTTACTTGTGCGTAGACGATATGTTAAGTTTCGTATTATAATATAATAAAAGAAAAACATGATTAAATATCATATAAGTTATAACTAATGAAATTTAACATAGAAAATACTAGTCGAACTATAATGAGAACGTTCGCATAGATTTATTTTTTATGCTAAATAATTACAATTTAGTCATCTACAGACTTATTATGATATCGACCGGGAATATATTACTCCATTTTCGAATATAGAATCTATACTAGTGATGACATTATGACTTTTCAGGGGGGTACTAAGTAATTAGTACTACGGGTTTGGCGAACCTGGGGCCCCGAGCCGCACACTGACTTTAATTAGTTGGTGTGGACTGGTCCTCCAGGTCGGGAATTGTGCGTAGGGCCGACAACCCTACCACATAAAAAAGTAAATGTTAAGAAACAACAGAATTTTAAGCCTCGGATGAAAGAGATAACGGATATTCAAATCGGAACTTGGAACGTGCGATCGATGTTTAGGGCTGAAGCTTTGACAACATTTCTATCGTGTCTTGAGCGATATGAGATGGATATTACTGCTATTCAAGAAGTGAGATGGACAAGTTCAAGGAGCTTGAAGTCTCAAGGAATGACTCTATTTTACAGCGGTGGGGACAAACACGAACGAGGTGTAGGGTTTGTAGTAAAAGAAAATTTACTACCACAAATTACAAATTTCAAACCTATAAATGATCGTCTATGTTACATAGAACTTAAATGTAAGTGACACAATATTATTTTAATTAACTGTTATGCACCCACTGAAGACAAAAATGAGGAAATAAAAAATGAGTTCTATGATAATTTAGACATGCTGTACGATTCTCTACCAACTGATAAACCGAAAATAGTAATCGGAGGTTTTCCAAAGAGAAATAACGATGGAGAGTATGAAATGAGAAACAACAAAGAATTGGATAACCTCTATAAGGAACCTACCATTATTAGGTCCCTGAAGAGCACGAGGATAAGTTGGGCGGGGCACGTATGGAGATCAGAGGGAATGATTGGATCGATAACTAAATGGAAACCCGACACAAAGAGACCTAGAGGACGTCCTAGACAAAGATGGACGGATAGAGTACAAGAAGACTTCAAACTTCTGATCGTAAGGAACGCAGAAGAATGTGCAAACTATAGAGAGGGTTGGAAACAATATGTTGTTGCGGCGATGGGCCTTAAAGGTCTGTAAAAGCCCAGAAGAAGATGACATTATGATTCGAAAGTTCTTTAACTCGATGAGCTGTTATATGTCACGTTTCTGGGAACATTTTACGAGGGTCTTGGCTTTTATTATTATAGTATACCAGAATCGTATGTAAACAATGCATTTTTTTAATTTTATGTTTTTCATCCGATCCAAGAGCGTAAAAGCTTCCATTCAAACGTGTATGATGTCACCGTAGTATAGTGTTGTACGCTTTGGAAGTTTTTATAGATAATTTTTTATTATTTAAAGTGAACTCGTCATTGCTTTCTCCCATTCTGCCAACAATAATAATAAATAGCACAGTAATAAAATCATGAGAGGTCGGTTTTATGGAGGGGGATTAGATTAATTCTTTTGGCGTCTGATTGACGCATTTAAATGTTAAAGCATAAAAAAAGTCATTATATAAATACATAACAGTTGTATTGATGGCTTATATCGGTCATACTATGCCAAGCGTAAGCAATATCTAGAATAAAGTTTCTAAATCTGTAATGGATACAACTAAGGCTGCATTGAATGAGAGAAGCGTGGACAATTTTACTTAACAGTAACGATATACTTATTATTTTTTTAACGTGGTCTAGCCAACCGTTCCTGCTTGGATCCACTCATTAGTCCTATCGACGCACATAGGAGTATTTGTATAAAAAAGTCGGACAAAATATTTTTTGATATATATATTTTTTTTTAATAGTAGAACAACAACTAAATAAGTAGATGAAAAACATGTATTTCAATATTTTTTAAGTTTATAAAATGAAAAAATTTCAAACATTTTTTTTTGCGGTATGACGAATTCGAAACAGGTATGACATGAGTCATGACTAAGCGAAAACGACGATGCGCCGCGCTAAACACCGCTATAGTACCTACTCTAGTATGTCAAAGGCTGCATTTTTGTCAACTTTAAATAATTAGAAATGTTTTAAAATAGATTTTCCACTGTTACTAGATATTAAATAATTTCGAAATTTGGACGTCTACTTTTAATTTTTCGACTTTGAAATAACATAAAACAAAATGGCGGAATGATGCGAACAATTTTTATTTTTTATTTGTTTAAGGATAGTCTTAATTAAGCATTGGTTAACAGAAAGTTGCCCGACTAGGCCCGAAAGGTAAACAAAATTACCTTTATTCTTAAAACATAGTGTAAAATATAATGCTAATAATACGTGTAAATGAATGTTTGACAACTCGTTAATTAGCTAGTAAAGTAATACAAAATCGTATAAATGTAAAGAACATACCTTCCTTTTCAATTTCTACAAGTTTCAATCGTTAAAATAAATTATAACCAAAAATAGAGCAAATGTAAATTTACTCATATTATACAGCACAGAGAACGAAATAATTCGATTCTCACACGACTAAGTTTAGATTTAATTTATGAGAAAGCGGATAGAGTGGTACTGATTTTATTAGTCTAGCTTGATGAACCGGCTAGTAAGCTACAAGAAAAATATATTTGTCGTGGATTTCTGTTAATTTTGTAATTTCGAATTTTGTCCGGCTTATTCACATAAATACTCCTATGTGCGATGGTCACTTTTGTCTAGTACAGCCAATTCGGCAAGCAGGCATGTCACACTAGCTAGTGACTAGACATTTAAGGAAATGTACTGCTATCGTATATCACACTAAGACAACTGCCAATGTTTTTCAGGTATTCGCCTGGGTGGCAGTGTTCGTGTTACCGCTAAACGCCGCCGTCAATCCCGTCCTGTATACTTTGTCTGCGGTGCACATGCTTCGTCGAAGGGTCACCACCAACAGGGCCGTGTCGTTCAGGAGATCTTTGACCAACGACCCGAAGCGTACCATGTCCACCACCATGGTGCCTCCGTCCACAAATTGTAAGCATGTTATTTTCATTTTTATTATTGAACGGCGAGAGATAAGAAAATCTGTATTTTTTTTCATTGCCGACTGTCGAGAATAGGCTTAGACAGATTGTTCATATGCTATGTAGAACGTATAGTCTATAGAAGCTGCTATCTAGAATTCCGTATACAAGCAATACCTAAGTATAAAAGGTATCCCTCTATCGTATTTGGGTATCTTAAAAGAATGTGTTACAAAATCGTAACAATTAAAATAGATAAGTGATTTTTTTTGTTAATTTTTTACAAAATAACGAAATGAAAATATAATTTTACACCCATTCACTTGATTGTTACATTTTATATGATCTTACTTATATTTTAAATGATAAAACAAAAAGTTGTGTGGACAAATAATAAATTAAAAATTCACGAGATAAATATAAATAAAAATAGGCTTCGCCGGAAAATGTTTCATGGTAATAAAACAATTTTTGTTGTTGGAAATACAGTGGCCAGTTGAAAATATTTTTAGTGGTGGTGTATACTTATATTACCGCGGCCAGTTGAGAGTTTTAAACGGTCTACATGCGAAAGAGTATCATCCGCGCTCATTGTGTAACGATCTTGTTTTTTGGACCGTACCCCGATGGACATTGTTTTAATTAATTCCCCCCAACCGTTCGGTTGAATTAGCTGTGAAAATTTGTTTTAGCAAACTAATGACGACAATAGTCGCCGTCGTTATACTGAATTCTCCAACGACAACTGATGCTAATGTTCCAATTAGTACGTGTGTGCAGTTTAATCCTTTGAGCCTAAACAACCATACTCGATATCCATACACGCGTACTGCTTATGCCTTATACATCAGGGTTCCATAACGTAACGAAATATAACGTTATAAACTCAATTATTTCTTTCACCAAAATAAAGTTCACAGAGCATAACATAATATTAGTATATGTTTGGTGAACGTTATAATGAATAACGTTTTACATTTTTTTAGTCCGAGAACTTATAACAAAAAACGTTATGACTTTTTTTATCCCGAGAACGTTACACCGAATAACGTTATAATTTGTTTTACCCCTGGAATGTTAAAACGAATTTTGCTAAGTTAGGTTAGGTTAGCAAAATAGTATCCAAAACTGGTTATAGACCAGTCAACATTTTTAGTACATTATTCTTTTAACACTATTTTTTCTAACCTAACCTAACTTAGCAAAATTCGTTTTAACATTAACGTTCTCGGAGCAAATAAATTTAAAACGTTTTTCGTTATAACGTTCTCAGGGTAAAAAAAATTATAACGTTATTCTTAGTTTACGTTCATGAACATAATTTTGAACTAAACAAATAAAGCGGGCGGAGAGCCTTTTAATCTGAATAATTTGGTTTATTAAAATTTTTTTAGATACTGGAGAAGTGGTAACGTTTTCGTTGGTCAGCAAAATTCCGCCCAGGTATACAATAAAAATGTATCCTAGAAATGTTATTTATTTCTATTTTACAAATTTTTAATTCTATAAATATTAAAATGCTTTTTCGATGATAATATTAAACTGGATTAAAAGTAGCTTATTAGAAAACGCGTTTGTTTTTAAGCTAAAAGCTAGTTGGACTAGATCATTATTTCTACTATGGCACCGATAAAATAATATTAATTGATCAAATTATTTATATTTATTTATTTTGCTAAATAGAAGTCCGGAAATCGTCGAAACAGAAATGACCGAGAACGGTCTGGCCACAGTGGGCAAAATGATATGAAACACGCCAGCGGACAGACTATGAGACCGGCTGCTTAAATCAGTTTGATGGTTTGGTATCCAAATCACTCAGTGTTTCCCGCCAAAAAGGCGGTACTGTTGGTGTGATTTTTTTTAAAATTTAAAACTAAGCTTAACTTATAAAAAATGTATATTATTTGTTATAATGTAAAATTAAATAACTAATCAATATAATTGTAGCAGTATTTTATATCTCGTAATATATAGTGCACTATATATTACACGTCATTTGTCTTTAATCAAAATGAGTGTAATAGAAAAAACTAAGTCACTTGGAGTGATTATTTTTTGGTGAAAATATGTCTATATATTATAATTTAGAAATATTTTTTTAGTAAGTATTTTTAGTAGTCCTTTATATTCATGGAATGCTAGTATAGTTCAAGATGTATGCGATAAACTAGAACGGTAAGATTTTTCATGTTTTCTCGAATGATATTTTGTTATACCTTTAGACGTGCCACTTATATCTCGATTATTTAAGATTTATCCCCTGTTAGGTTTAATAACATAAGACTAACAAATTAAAACTAATTTAGCACAGCGATATAAGTGTTGTTAATTTATAATATAATGTGATCCAAGTGTCTAACGAAATACTATACCGAAAATTTGGGCACCTAAAGTATTTATTTTAGCATAGTTGTTTGCAATGTAAATTTAGATGGGGTTTTATATGGGCCATCAAGAGCTTTACTGTTGACATTTAAGTTAATTATTAATATTTTGCATATTGATTAGTATTATTGTGTTTTAGCACACTAAAAATTATTTCATTTTCTGAGTTTTGTTTTAAATAGGAATTACATGGCCGTTTAAAACATATCTATATCTTGATGTTATTATTTAAAAATTGTTGAACATAAACAAGTAACCGGAAAATTATTATAAAAAGTTTTTCTATTTTTCTCGTTTAACACCAAATAATTATAACTTCACACTGTTTCATTTGAAAATCGCCACTTTTAGTGTTGACGAGAAACTATTTTCCAACATTTAATAGCGATATAGTAAAAACCTATGTAATAATACTACCTAAATGTGTATAACTATGCATGCAACTCGGACTTAACTTTTGCTAGCATACAACTCGGTTGTTTTGGGTTTTTACTTCTTTCGCAAGCAATTCGGATGCGCTGGTCGAACAAAATAAGTTAAAGATGCAAACTAAGAGACACGCTAGCAAAATATCTTTTGTTCCACATTGTGGCAATAACAATGCAGCTAACTACGGGTAATTAGAGACTTATTCATACAAAAACCACAAAGAAAATCTATCTAAACACTGTAAATTATAAAACTCTTCTACTGGCGACTTTAAAAATTATAAAAAATTGTTATGTTCTTTAAAACAGTTAAACTTCATTCAACAGCTTTACTTATTTGATGCAATAATTTTTAAGTTTGGTTAATGATTTCAAAGCACTCAATTTATTTACTTTTACATTTGTTTTATTATTATAAGAAAATTAATATTAAACCAACATTGCTTTATTTCATGTTCTATATGTTTTTATGTATCATTGCTAATTAAATAATACTATATCTTAGTCCTTTTTATTATTAAAAAATGTCTTGAAACCTAAAACAAAAAAAAATTATATAGTAGAACTATAGGCGATTCTATTACATAATATAGATAATATCTATAGAACCCTTAATTTTTTATGCTACCTCTCGGCAGAGGTATGAACGAGTTCGTCTCGACACGATAGTCTCTTTGAAATTGTGCATGTTTTTAATTTACATTTAGCTTTAAGCAAGTTTTAGGGATATAATATTTGTATTAATCCGTTTAGTTTAAAAGCAATTTTTAATTAAATTATGTTTAGCCTATAAAAAAATGCCTCATGTCTAACTAACGTTTTCATTTAATTTAGTTTTTTAATTTAGTATCTAATATATAATCGAATCGACTAAAGAGGTTATGAATAACACAATTGAGTTACCCAAAACGAGTGTTTCAGTTTAACATTTTTTTTTAAAGTAATTGAAAATTACTTATAAACTAAATGGGTTATATATATATATATAAATTATATACCTTTATATATATAAAGGTAAAGCGTGGCTAATGTTACCTCTAGACGACTAACTCATGGCAACTATTGGCAATGTACTTTGGTTAACAACATTACCCATAGCAGAATGGATGAAATAATTTTAATATTATTCAGAGCAAGGCGGTAGGTTTATCAGTAGTATTAGTGATTACTATAGGTATTTTAGATGTACTTGATCAGTTTACGTTTTGTGTCACTGTCGTTTTTAGGGTGTTTTATTAAATTAACTGTAGGCATTGAAGTTAATATTTTATTTGGGTTTATCTCGATTGAAAAGTGGGACTTTAAATATTTAATTGGGTTACTTTTGGAAGTTTTTTAATAAATAAGTAACTTTTAATTTACCTTCATAATCGATAGTCATCGATTCCTTATTTCCATATTTCTTCACTAGGTCGTTAGCTTCATCAAGTGTAAAAGATTCATTAAAGCCACCAAATTTTGAATATAATTCTTTTGGAGTAACAAAACCTTTTTGGTTTTTATCAATTGAGTCAAAAGTGTCTTTGATAAAAAAATCGTTTTTATTAACCATCATCATTTCCTTGAATGCGTCATATGTAATTTTACTGTCATCTATGTAAATTAAAAAAAATATATTTATAAAGTTATTATTATTATTATGTTTTTTATTACTTGTTAACTAATTTAAAGATTAACCAAAATATTATTAAAGATAATTACTTTTTTAAATTATTTTTAAAATTATTTTTGTTACATTTAAAAAAAAAAAAATTAAGATAGCCATTTTATTAAGAATAATTTGCTGAAAATAATTTTAAAAAGTTAAATAGTTAAGTGCAATACAAAACGTAGTACTTATAGCGCAAATAAGTATAAATTAATTTTAAAAAAAAATCTTAAAAATATTCACTAGAACAAAAGTTATTTAATTGTCGAATCATTGTGGAACACCCTGTATACACATACCACACACACACACACACACAGATATGGTAATAAATACAAATATTATATATTTATATGTTATTATTTGTGTATAATATATATATTATTACCTTCAGTTTTCATTACATCTATCATATATCTAATATCTTCATCAGGTGTTTCTTCGTTAAGCGACTGAAATACTTGTTTTAGTTCTTCAAATGATAGGCCATTATCATTGTTCTTATCAAAATTGTTAAATAATTCCTGAATTTCTTCTTCCGTATATTGTCTCTTTATTTTATAACAATAAATTATTAGATACTATAGTTGTTTTCATACATTTTATAGGTTTCCATTAGATGTACAGTCCAGTTTTCAGACTCCAATTCCTAAAACTACGCTTAAAATAATAAAGAAAAAACTTTTCACAACTTCTAAAGGAAAATCTATTTATCAATTATTTTGGTTTTCGGCTATATATTTGTTATGGCATTTAGACAAACTTAATACAAAGCTCGAACTAACTTGAATATTTTTAGGATAGTTATAAGGTGCCATATTTTAAAATTTTAAAAATACTATAAATTTATAGCTCTACATACATGCGTGCATTATAATTATAATAATTATTATTATTAGAAAAGCTTATTGACATATTGTAAATAGTATATTAGTACACATTTTACCGAAGAATATATTATACTACCTATATCAATATACAAAAATTTCATATATTTGTCATTAATGTATATCTATTGTCTACACCCATAGAAATATGGAGTTAAGGGGAACGGAAAGAGCTATTTATTAAGGGACAAAGGATAAGCAATATATGACTAAAAAAATGTCTAGTAGCCATTTTGAAAAATCCGACTAAATTTAATGTAAAAATGTTTTTTTATGGGGTCTAAAAGACGGATTTTTGATTTAGTTATTAGGAAAAACTATAAAAAAGTACAAATATAATCGCTATAATAAAACTATGAGAACAAAAAAATTTAATCTTTTTTGAGTTCAACTTAATAAAGATAAAAGTTTGAAATTGGTTCGGTAGGCACTTCAGAAAATGACTATGCGTTTTAGCCTTTATTAGTATAAAATTTGGCGTTTTCCGTTCCCATAATACAACCTTAACTAGTGTCAATATAGCTGAATATGGTTAAACGTTGTTTTTGCACGTACACTAATTTTTGTTTGTTATAATTTATATTAAGTTTTAAAAATTGTAATTGAAATTATGTACTATTCAATAACAAAAAGTTTTAAATTTATTTTTTTTTAATTTAAAAATATTGTTTTGTTAAGGGTCGTTAGATCGTGATTGTGATATTAATCACCTAAGTGTTATGTTTATTAAAATGTACAACTTTTTGATCTATCTTAACAAATTAATATTTTTGGTAATTAGGTAAACTCTTATAAAAATTAAAATTAAGTATAATAGGATCACGTTCAACATTTATAGCCTAAAGGTAGGTAAACTGTTAGCAATCCTTACAATATTTAATGCGTCATCAGTAGTTTCATCAAAATCGAATTTATCGTCCAGCTATAATTTATACAACACAAAAAGATTAATTTATTTGAAAAAAATTAAAATACAAACTTTAATCAATTATTGAATTAATTATATACACGTATTTTAGTAAATTTGTTTTAATCATTTAGGAGTTTGCATGTAAAATGTTTGCAAATAAATGGTAAAATTGTAGTAAAACAACAGACTTATACTTATGTGGAATTATTTTTTATGTAGATTGGTTTGATGAATATATTTTATTTTTACACGTCTGTTAAAGAAGAATTTTAATGAATTTATGTATAATTATAAATAATTGAAATCTGGTTCTCATTAAAATAATTTGTGTGTGTAGCTCGACACACAGATGTCTGAAACATATTTTTAGATGAACAAAATTCAATTTTTGCATTAATTTTTAAAATTACCAAAAAACACAACTTATCTTATAGTAACCAAAATTATGTGAATTGTATTTTATTTCAATAGATGCATGAACTACAAAGTAATAAAAAAATGTACAGCACTATTGTATTTTTGATGATATTCGCACAATTTTATATAAATATAATTGATCTCCTGAATTAAAAGTCGCAGAAATGTGATTTTTTTATTGGTTAGTTTATAAAAATGCCGTTTTAATTTTTAATTTTTACTATGTTTTTAGTTAATTGTATGTTGTTTAATGTAAACAGTTGATAACATTTTACTCATACTTACTCTTAGCGACTACACACACTTCATAGTAAAATTTCCCAGATTTACAAAGAAAAAAAATCGTTAGACTATTTTCAGCATTATTTTTAAACTTAAATGTCCTCGTTTTAAGCATAACAAATGATACTAATAAGACTACCGAATTGTGGATAAGATCTTATTACGAAAAATATTTCCAAACTTACGTATGATGTATCAAGACTATAATAATACTTAAATACAATTATTATTCGTTTAAAAAAATATATCATGGAAGCATACAACGAAGATAAGTTAGTAAACACACACTGCTTTTTCGTGCTATAAAGTTATTGGTTATGTCTCAATAATAATTCGGATTTTACAGAAAAGATTTTGTGATTTGAAGATTGTTCTATGGAATTTATTGTACAACTAAAAGTTAAATTATTATTATATATGGTTTCAGACCTGTGGGTATAAAGTCTTTTTTGTGTTATCTTTGTAGACGTTTTGCTGGCTGTTTTCTCCTTTTTCCTTCTATAATGATGATTGTACTATGGAATTTATTTTACAACTATAAGTTAAATGATTATAAGATATGAATTCAGACCTGTGGGTTTGAAGTCCTATTTGCGTCCTCTTTGAAAATGTTGTGCAGACTGCTTTTTCCTTTTTCCATCTATAATGACGATGATAACGATTTCATTATTTGACGATTGTAATATAGAATTTATTTTACACTTAAAATTAAATTATTATAAGATATGAATTCAGACCTGTGTGTATGAAGTATTTTTTGGTTCATCGTTTAAAATATATTCCTGGCTGCTTTCTCTTTTTTCCATCTGTAATGTATTCAATAGGTACAGCTTTTTAGAATGTTACAATGCACAACATTTAAAAAAGTTAAATTTGAATAATAATATTTAAAAAAATTATTATTTAATGGTAATTTATTAAGTAACAAAATACTAATATAATAAAGTATCAACTTTAATAAGTTCATACATAAAAAAAAACCTTAATCATGTGTAACAACTGTTATATGGTCAGTTTCAACTGTAATATAGGAAAATTTACGTGATATCGTATTTGGCATTTTGTTTTTTTAGTAAAATAAAATGTTTTTATGATATAACTTTTTTTTTAATTTGATTTAATGCTTCTTATTTTACACGAAAATTGGCGAAACGGGATTTACGTATGGTTCCTGTATTCTTGTATTGGTGAATTGTTAGTTTTCACAAATATTAGTGAAATACTAATGTAATTTATAAACACCCCACAAACCATTCCAACATTATTCGGTTTCATATATTTTAATATAAACGTGAAATAAGAAGCAGGAAGCACTAATGTCGATTACATCACAGACTATATTTATGTAGAATGAGGTTTTAGCAGTGGTCTATATGCCATGTCCTTATCTCACGTGTCCAACCCGTACAAACATAAACCCAATCAAAAATCCAAACAACCAGCCCATTGTAATAGCGGCCGAGGGTTAAAAAAATTGTAATAATTCTGGGTGGATTAAGATAACTGAATTTCTATCATTTATGCCAGGATAGAAGCACCAACATTCAGAATACTATAACAGACCATATACCACATAACAGCCGAATGAAAATATACAATATAAAATGATATACCTAATAACTATTACTATATATATAATAAAAATACAAATATCGAACCTTCTCATCTTCATCAATATTTATAACATACTCTCTAAGGCTTTCTCTTGCTGGGTTTATTTCCGACTGAAATATGAATAATTATTAAGTCGATTGGTTACAATACTTCGATAAAAGTATTTTGGTCAGATTAGTTATGTTAAAATACAATATAAATATTGATATAATGCACGCTTTGTTAATAAAATACATTTGCTTTGTAAATTCGATAATAATTCTTACAAATATCATAAATCATTAAATAATGTTATTTGTAAAAAAATGATCATGTTTAGACTATTCAATACATTAATCAAATTCGACATTTTATGTTGGGTTCCTTTTATTTTCCACGATCGGATTAGTCTTTAAGTGCATCAAATTGTTAAAAGTGAGTCTAGTTATTACAATTACATAGTGGTATCATGCTTTGATAGTGTTCACAAAGTCGTCGTTTTTTTTGGTAAATTGTATTTTGAAACGGTTTCGTAATTTCACTATAGTTAATTTCCTGGATGCTGTCATCAACAAGATAAGTGCTTTATACAATTGGATTTCAGTAAAACAACAGAATGTCAACTGTAATCGCCATCTTAAAACCTCAAATTTTTGCTGCAATAAACAATTAATTAAAAAACCCCGAATTTTTTAAACGACCTATCCATATTTGCAAACATTTACTCCTCATGGACTGGTGTACCTAGATAAAAATTAGAAAAAATCTGGGACAATTTCTTTTTTGAGTACTATTTAAGCGTGAAAAAAATTCAGCAAAATCTCGATGAATAAAAGACCACTTTTTTAAGTTGAGAATTTTACGTAGAGTTGTGTAGAGTATTTTATTTATTTTTAAGAATTTCATGTAAATTGTTTTAACTTTTAACTGTCATAATTGTAAAGATTTTATTGTTGAAACATTACTTATTATTAGTTCAAGAAATACACTAAAAACAAACTTCACAAATAAACTTCAATTAGTGACAATAAAATTTAAAATAAATTGCTAAAAACTCATTGTAAATTTCTTAACTAAAAATAGGGAGTCACATAGTTTACTAGAATGATACGATGGTAAATTTTAACAGAAAATTAATTTTTGGTACGATAACTTTTTAGCTAGAGGTAGGGATCTTGATTTAGATTATTTTTTACGAGTATTAGTATTTAGTAATAACTAAATAATATTGTGCACTAACCTGTGGACTGGTCATCGCATTAAAGCTCAATTCTCTATCTGACTATAATGAGAAAAACCGGTACAATTGATTAGTTTTTTTAATAATAATATTAGGTATTATGATTTTTATAAGTTAATATTGCGGACTAACCTGTAGTCGGCTCATCGCACTGCTAAAACTCTGTTGTCTAGATGACTATAATGAGAAAAATCGGTACAATTGATTAATTTGCTAATAATATTAGGAATTATGTTTTGTATAAGTTAATATTGCGGACTAACGTCTAGACTGGTATTTGTATCTTTAAAGCTCAATTCTCTATCTGACTATAATGAGAAAAAACGGTACAATTGATTAGTTTATTAAATAATAATATTAGGTATTATGATTTGTATTAGTTAATATTGCGGACTAACCTGTAGTCGGCTCATCGCACTGCTAAAACTCGGTTGTCTAGATGGCTATAATGAGAAAAATCGGTACAATTGATTAATTTGTTAATAATATTAGGAATTGTGTTTTGTATAAGTTAATATTGCGGACTAACGTCTAGACTGGTCTTTGTATCTTTAAAGCTCAGTTCTCCATCTGACTATTATGCAAATAATATAATTGATTATTTGTTTAATAATATAAGGTATTATTTATTGTATAAATTAACATTTTAAGCAACATTATATTTTATTTGGAAATGTTTTGATTAGTGACTTTAGTAATATTTAGTACGTATATGCTATAGAGTACTGTCGTATACGCACTTTTGTACACGAAATGTTATAAACACACAAACACTGTAAATCAAATTACTTAATACCTTTTACCTGTCAACTAAGGTGTCTTTAATAAGTGGTGCATAAATTTAGCAGAGTTCTAGTCGCCTCTTCGACAATTAAATCGTCTAGCTATATAACTACAATAAATGGGTTAATAGCCTCAACGCAAGTACTAACACTAGCAAAGAACCAAGAGCCGTACTTTGACTTCCTCGAGAGATGCGGTTTTTGTTACAGTACACTTATTTATTAAAGAACACTAAAGGTAACAATTTTTAAATTAAGTAAAAGAAAAAGCAAACTCAAAAAATTAATAAACTCACAAAAGATATAATGTTCATAAAAACAATAAAAAAAAGTAAACTAATAGCACGCGATAATACCTACTCCCCTCGTAACAGACCGACGCTTACGGGAGAGTGCAACCGCCATCGTATTTTGGGCGGCTTTAAATAATAAGCATGATTGTAATTTTTGTTGTGTTGACAATTTCGTTTAGGTTTTTTTGGCTGTTTGGTCTATATTTTATTGCTCATTTGCTAATATACATTCATCCTTAAGATCTATACTACAGTACGTAGGAGATGAGACAAGTTATGGTCAGAGCACGGATCGTACTGATTTTAAATTACTCAGTGATAAAAAGTATTGTAGAAACAAACACTTTTTTTAATGACATCTAATTAAATTAAACGTTAAAAATATAATGCTGCTTATGTCTGATTTTAGTTTGATTATTAAATGATAAAATATTTACAAACCTTTGGAGCTTCCGTGCTTGATCCTGGCCTCCAAAAATATAATTTTTCTTTTATGTTTTTGATCTTTTGGAATTGGTCTCTTTTTTTAGATGGCTAGTGTACAATAAATAATTAATTAATATATATATTTTTTTTATTACTCTTTCATTATGACTTTAATTATCTCTCCAAAACACTATAAATGTTTGTCATCATTAAATGAAATCTGTGCTCATGATTACTAGCAAAATCTTAAGGGGCCTCTACATCTGAGTATATTTCATTGAAAACACCTCATTTTAATTTTAACCATACTCTAAAATACGTTATCCAACAATAGTTTTGAAAGCCGATATAGATGTTTTAATACTTGCTTGATGAATCGATCGAAGTGTATTTTTAATTTCGTTGTTAGTTTATTGTAAAAATCATTTTTTTTACCCAATTTTTTTCTTACGCGATTTTGTTATTTAGATACCTATGATAATGTATAATAATATACCTACTGCTATAATTTACTTTTTAAACTTTTTAATATTTTGAATAATAGCTATGTATTTGGTATTTAGAATAATAAATTAGGAACTAAACAACAAGATCTTTATTTAATGTCAATGAAAAATGTACGTAATTTAATTTAGGAAATATCTTATAAACATTAGTTTTAAAAGCAACGTTATAAAATAAATTTATTTATTACAACACAAGTTTTATCTCGTAACAACAAACAAAAAAAAACATTATAAAACATTCAGCTCCTCATCGAAGTAGATACAAATAAGGCTAATATAGCGACAACTGATACTTTGAATAATTGTGTTATATGGTGGGCTACTTAAGTAGAAACATTTAAAATAATTTACTTCTAATTTGTTCGTCTAATAGATCACCACAACGAAAAAAATCTAATAGTAAATTCCCTATTTTCATTGCCTTTACTAAAACGTAATCAAATTAATAATTTATGTAGTTAATATTTAAATACAATTGTTATAGTTAAATAATAATTACCGGTTTTGAAAATTTCCTCGTTGTAGTTGTTTGAGTTTCATTAATATCACCAAACGCCACAGCAATGCATAAAAGTGCATAAATGCATAATAAGCAGCATAACATTATTGAACTTTTAAAATACATATTCCACAAACTCAAATATCTGATGAGCGATTAAAAAATTACAAAACCCGTGTAAATTTTAATGAAATAATTATAAGTCTATTTCGTATCAATTTTATACTTTTCTGTAGTTATACAGTTATCTAGATCATGCTTTACATGTATTTGCCAACAATATATTTTGTTATTTAGTTGACAATACAACAATGACGCATTTAAAGTTAAAAAAATTCGTACTCGGTGTACCGACTGTGTGTACACTGTGCGTCATGCCCTGTGTTGTATGTTCATTTTTTAGGTTTAAAACAAAGATTGTGTTCTCAATAGGTAAGTAATGCACATGTTATGATATATGGTAGCTACGGTAAAGATACATATGACCCACATTCTGCAAGATTCACTTAAATAGATTAGTGCAGTATTTGAGAAGGACTAATTTTTTTTTATTGGTTGCCAATACCGGTTTATTTTTTTAAAATAAAATATGAGTTGACGATAATAATGAACACACCGTATGATTTTTGTTTGGCTGGTTCATACAGTTTATATGATTTATTATCAAATTACCGCAATTTAAACCCACAATATATACCTATCTTTAAATTTTCACCAACAACTTAATACTTTGACATGGATATAAGTTATCACTGGGGGGTCACCCCAAAACATTTGTCCGAAACGTAACGCGATGTGTCACACTCGTCGGTGGCGGTGCTGGATGGTCGGCGGTGATGAGGAGGAGGGGCGACGGCGGAGGTGGTTTATGCATGCAGGTGTGCGTGCATTGTGTGCACATGCATTTTATATTTATCGTGTATCGTATCATTTATTATGTAATATTTACTTAATATAATATATATTTTATAATAATATATTATTGTAATACATAGTAGATATACGTAAAGGTCGTTCAACCGCCGCACAGTGGGCTGAAATGAAAATTACCTCGCATAAATTAATACATCTTAACCATTTTTTTAAAATATTTTACATCAATTTAAAAGTTTTAAAGGCCGCTGAACTCAAATTGAAATTCTGTAAAAAATTAGAAGCATTAAGAAATACATTTTAAATATTTATTACTTTGATTTACATCTTATTATTTGAATTTATCTTCATTTTGTTATATTAAAAATAATTGTAGTAATTAAACTCCATTAATTAATTATTAAAAATTATATCAGTATAATTCAGTACTTCGGTAGTACTAAAAATTAATGCTTTGCTCAGGGGCAAAAGGAGGCAAACCGGATTTTCATGAATTATTACCTTGTTCTAATAAATAATAGTTAACAACCGTTAAGTGAAATATCATCATATTATGTTGATAACTTTTATCTGTTGTCGAGACAAAATAGAATAACTAATTGACTAATTATACAAATTAATATAAATCTAGCAAATAATTATTTTTATTTATAATATTATAATTTTCTTATTTGGTCGTTTTAGTTAATTAATTATTTAAATGTAAAAACCGCAATTTTTAACTTTTTTAAATTGAAATAATTAATTAACAAAAAATAATTTCAAAATTGTGTTACAGTCGATGTCTTGAAAATGTTATCAAGAATTCAAATATATTTTCAAAATTTAAATATGAGTATTTTTAGGAACAGTACGTTTGAAGTAGAATAAGTTGTTTTCGAACAAAACTACACAGGTGTAGGAGTGTAATTTTATAAAAAAAATACACCAAGAAAATGAATCATATAGTTAACGAAAGAACTGGTTTATAAAGTCACTAAAAGATATTCAAAAATGGATAATAATATACAACATAATATATCTCCAATAAAAAAAAATTAGGTATGTACTCGCATGCCTATATTCACGGAAAAACATTTTTACATTAATAATAGTTTCGTTGTATTCGTAACAACCATATTTTGTAGTTCCATTTACTGAATAATACTAATAGCTATTTTATAATATTAGCTATTTAAACACAATAATTAAGTTAGTCCAACAAAATTAAAGTTCCCTTGGTGAAATGTTATTTAGTGGGTACAACAACAAAATTTGATAGTTACGAATATAACCAAACTCTTGTTAATGCAACAAAATATTTTTTCGTGGATGTAAATAAGTGTTATTTTTTTATATTTTTAAAATTGGGGTTTTTATTTAGTATATATTGTCTGTAAGCTGTGAAAAATCTAGAAATGATAGAGCTAAACGGATTTCATATTGGTGTTCAGCACATTAAAATCAAGTCAAATCCGATTTCAAAACCACTGTGTTATAAGGGAAATATTGTACACCAAGTATAAAATTTAAAAACCATATGAAGCGGATTTGCATTTATATTGGACTCGTTAAAGTGGTTTTACGATTTTTTAACAATAACTTATCTACGAAAAATAGCTTAAATAAGGTATATTTGTCATTTTTTTATTAATGGAAGTTTTGTAACATACATTGTACAATATATACATAAATATGTTAAGATTATTTTTTAAAAACTATTATATTTTATTGAGAAGTATTACAGCGTATTTAACCAATTATTATTGGTTTAACTTTAAAATAATGTGTTGACTAGTGATAGAAATTATTCGAATACTTTAAAATTAATGTATTCTCAATTTTCAAATACTTTATGAATTTTAGAATATTCAAATATTTTTCATCACAAACTGTTTATAATATTATATATATATATATTTTTTTGAATGCTAAGCTTAGTTTTATAAGCGTTTTGCGTCGTGCTCTCTAGTAGAAAATATATTTTATATTTATAGATTCTTTTTTAGCTAAAATTAATCACTAGATCGCAGTACCGATGTTCAATCGTGTTCATTACACAATCTTACGATTACTTTAAAACAACCATGTAGTTCTTCCTTCTTGGATAATGAACTAATTTATCAGATTGTTTTCTAAAATTTAGGTTGCTTATATTTTTATTTAAAAACTGACGTTTTGGATACATACGAAATAAAAATAAAAACAACATATATATGACCGAAAATTTAGAAATGTGTTCAATTTTCAATTCTCCTTATAACATTTTATCCGAGCATTTGTGATAATGTTTATTGTTTAATGTGCGTAAAAGTTGTAGACTAAAATGTAAAATTTAGTGAAGTAAATTTTGAAACCCTAGTAGTATAATATCGAGCATATATACACAAAATAATTGAACAGTTTTTTTTTATACCGTAATTTTTGTAGTTGTACCATTAAGTTTTATATGTTCAAATATCTACTCTTAAAAACGATTTCTGATTTTAATACTCTACCCATATTATAGTACCACTATATTGTTATATTTACAAGGTAAATTTAAAAACTATAATTTAGTTATTATTCTCTAATTATGGTTGGCTACAAAACCACATAAGAGTCTTGGCATGGTGATATACTAATACAAACTAAGTTATGTAAAACATGTAAATAACATAAACTCCTAATTGAAAAAAACAATATTCAAAGACCAACATTTTTCATTAGGTAACAATTTTATGTTGGTTACCTTTTTCAGAATATAATAGTCTTTTTACGCAAAGTTTTTTTGTAATAGCACGTAAAATAATTATATATTTTTAACAATTGAAATAATATTGCAGTGTTACAGATGTTACAGTGTTCGTAGCTTAAATAAATACAAAAAAAACGTTTGTGTATTTACTAGAAAAACATATTATTTTAAAGGTGTATCAAACGATACAAGTCGTTGATTTTTTATTGTAGTTTTTTTATTATTTAAAACAAAAATGTATTTCAAACGTATTACAATTTTATTGTATTATGGTGTATTTTTATTTTCGGTGTTGGGGCAACCCGTAACTGATGAACACGAAAATAACAAACAAGAAGTAAGTATGATATTGTTGTTATAGAATGATTTTGTAACATAGTTAGGTACATAAATATAGGCTTAAAACTAGTATTTGGTAACTATAAACATGAAAGCTTAATACTTAAACAAAGTCCAAACAATATATTAAATGGTAGTTAAATATATCTAGTACGATCATGTCTAAAATTTACAGACTAAATAATTCTTTTTTCATTTCTGTATACTTTTTCTATGGTTAATTCATCTTTGCTAGAACATTTTTTCCTCATCTCCGAACCGAAATTAAAACAAAAAAACTAAAAAATACTACCCCTGTAAACTAAAAGCAAAGACAGATAAAAAAGTAAAATACATTACACAACATTTTTCAACCTAAAAGTTTTACATTTTTAACATTATTCTTTAATTTAACTATGCAAATAATAAAAATAATTTTCCAAAACATTATAAAATTAATTAGAAAGCTTATTAACTATAACTTGTATTTTTTTTACATTCTAAAGTCGGAATTGGAGACGATCGGTACAACCATAGACCATGATGATGCTGATGAAGTTACTGAAAGCCAACAGGTTTTTGATGTGTTTTTAAATAAAATTAAAAACTTAGTAATAAGTTCGGATATTGACGGCTTATAGTTGACGGATATAGTTCGGTTTATAGAATACAAATACCAAATAATATTTTGAATATAAATTATTTAACTAAATGTTAACACATTGAGTTAAATGATAAAAGATTTTTATAGAACCGCACAAAGAGTATTATATAAAAATCGTGAAAACTCGACCGAGCGTCTGACTGGGTGTATAACAAATACAAGCTAAACAAAATGCTAGCACAGTGGGGTTGGAGAATAGTGGTGATGTAGCATATTGAGAACGGGGAGGTGATATTTCTTCGGAAATTATTATATCTGTTATGTGCCTCGTACACCCAAGTAATGTGACACGTGGCTCAATGCTGGTTATCTGAGCGCACGGAAGTGCACCAGGCCAAGTTCCCGCAATGCCAGTGTAGCTTTACACAAACCAATTCACCCAGTTTTTCTAACCCAAATATCTCTGTTTCCTCTTAAGATAAGCATTTGAAATTTGATAATATATAGATTAAGCTCAAGTAGCTTAGGATACTGTAAAAATGTGAACCCGTAATAGTAAGCATTTTCAAAAGTGGAGAATTTCAAAGTTTTCAATTTTGTTACTGACTGACTGACTCACTCATCATAAAAATTATAAAAAACTTCCCGTATAGGTAAAAACGTGAAATTTGGCACAAAGGCAGGTCTCATAGTGTAACTAAAGGGAAAAATCTGAAAGTTTCAATTTTCTCAAAATGTATACCGCTATAGGGAGTGTAGTTTAACAACTTATTGTTGTTAAGCATCGCAGTACAGATAATATAATTCTGATACCGGTTTAAATATATTAATTTAATGGCAAAAGTGGTTTCTCTTAAAATGAATCTATTAAACACATCAGTATGGAGGATGTAACCTTTTTTGCACAACAATATAAGGTTCGAATCAAAACAATTTAAATTTAAATGTGTTTAAAACTAAAGGTAACTTCGTTTTTTTTATGATATACTACAATTTTAAAAAATTACCTATTTAAAACAATTTTAATTATTATCAAACAATAATAATTTTAAGTTTTGTATTTTTTTTAATCATATCGGGGGGGGGGGGGGTAACTTTTGAAACTTAAATAATAACGTATACATTTAATTCGTTTTTTTTTTAAATTAAGAAGCAATTACTGAATGTTTTAGCTAGTCGATAACCAGTATTAAATCATTACTTTTAAAGTTATTAGAGTTTAAAATGTAGGAAGGGAGGTGTAGTACTGTTAACTAATGAGCGTAAATTAAAAAATAACTACACTTCACCTTTCCTCTCTTCTTAATTTTAAACTCTAATAACTCAACATTGGTTATCGCCCAGAAAATAATTTTTTATTTAAATAACGGATTAAATATATACCACATACATTACCATTTATGTTTCATAAGTTACCCTCTCCTCTTTAACCTGGCTATTTTGTTATTTTGCTATATATAGGTTAAGGGATCGGGGCGAATAATGACTAAACTAAGTAAAAGAAAGAAATACTAAAATAAGACGATTTAAATATAAATACATTAATATTTATGTTTCAAAAGTTACCCTCCCCCTTTTAACTTAGCTTCTGATAAAAAAAAAAACGTTAAATTATCTTTGTTTGATAAAAATTAGAATTTATTTTAAATTTTAGTATATCAAAATTCACTAAGAAAATCGATTTAATACATTCGTATGCTTTTAATAATAATTATTACAATGAATACTGTTTATACAAATGTAGTAGTACAGTAACAATATATTGAAACGAACTAATCATTTGTACTGTATTACAGTCAGATACAGGTACAAGCAGTATAGCCACAGATATAACAGAAACGATGACACATCCACAAGTTCGAAGTTTATTTAATTATTTAATTTTTTATATTTACAATTAAAACATTTGTTATTAAAAATTTAGACACACGCAAATGCAATGATGTTACTTATAATAATCTAGCATGCCAAATGCCAATTTCCATTATAGAGGAAAAGCTAAGTAAAAAAATAAGGGGGAATACTTATGATTGTCTATAAAATCACAAAGAATTTTCGAATTAGTTAAATAATTGGTTACAAAAGTTAATAAGCTTTTTAAATGTAATATTATACTTATAACTTAATAGAAGAGTATAGAATTCGTTGTATTCTAGGTCTTATTTAATTGTTTTTCAGGAGGGGTCAAAAATGAAGATTAAAGCCATGACGTTGTATTTTTAAGATACGGCCTTGGTTGTATTTATACTTAGTATGACTGACAATTAAGCGCATCGACAGTATATAATTATTATAAATTGTCAAATTAATTTTAATTCATTTAAAAAGTACCTATAAACTTGTTTTTATTAAGTCACCATAACTTAAAATATTAAGAGATTTTTGTTCCAAAAAAGAGCAACATGTTAGAACAAATCCTACCTAATCTAACTTTTGGCAATGTTTTTCAAGCTTAAATTAATACAATGCTATACTAGCTTCACCTTTAAAAATCGTGTCATTTTGTGTTAAGTGTTCTCTACCTCTCGGATAATTATTTATTTTCTACCCACCTCTTTAACTTTTATAAACTTCAAGGAATTATATTTAACTTATACATTTATTTCTATGAGTTAATGCCATTTTGGTAGTAAAATGCTATAGTTGTGACAAAATTGTGTAACTGTCTGTTCTGCTAATACGAAAAACCTTAATACTTAAAATTAGTGCTTTTCAAAATACATACATTTATTTCTTAGTCAGAGATTTGTTGAAATAAAAAAAACGTATCACTTATTTTAAATAATAAGGTTTCTTGAGGTTTTTAGAATCTCAATCCCCTCTCACATAATTATCTGCCCATGCTAAAACGTAAAAAAAAGTTCACTTTTATCCTCCTAACCACACCAAATAACACACTTCAGTCCTGCACCTATTTCGGTAGCAATGCTATCATCAGCGCTCACAAAATAGTAATTGTCATAAAATACTTTGCCTTTTAGTAAGTTATGAACACTAATGAACGATAGCATTGCTACCAAACTATAAGTATTTTTTTTTGTTATAAATATTATATAATATTATATTTATATATACATTAACCATTAACCACAAATATTGCTCGATTTTTCTAGAATAAAGTATTAGATATTTAAATAAAATTATAGTAACTCATTATATTTAAAACATTTTTATAGTTATATAACATAGAAACAACCAGTTTAACCGAGAATGAAGAGGATGTTGCAGAAATTGATGAACGACTTAAGGTTTGCATTTTGATTTTCAATAAATTTAAGATAGGAAAACATGAATATGACCACTATCGATTAAAAATAGATGTACATTATCATCATTAATATTTACAATTTAAGTTCTATTTGACTTGTTTTAAACAGGGTATAGACATGGGCGATGAACCACCTATAACGTTAAATATTGTTGATAGCTTAATGGATTGCGAAAACAATGATACTCCTAAACCAGCAATCAAAAAAGTACTATACCCAAAAGTAATTATCAAAAGTTATCATATGTTGTATAATTATATTTTGTTATTTTGCTATGTATAGGTTAAGGGATAGGGGCGAATAGTGACTAAACAAAGTAAAAGAATAAAAAGCTAAGATAAGACTATTTAAAGAGTATTAGACTATTTAAAAACAATGATTTTTTTTTTATGAAATACATTTATTATATAATAATAATTAATTGTAATTACAATATGGGACCTATAAAAAAAAATAGATTATTTTTATAGTAAAATTTCTTTATTTAAGTAGTTTTGGATATAAATTTATTTAAAAACGATTTTGTTATCCAACCCAAATTTTTCCTATACAGTAGAGAAAAGGAGAAATACGAAGTTCTCATAATTAATATCTCATTATTGTTCCAAATTAATTCATCACATTGTTTTAAAACTTATAAAATTAAGAATAAAATGTATAAAATTAACATATAATGGTATCGCAAAAGGTGTATATCTCCTAGTTTGTACTAAGTAAGTGTTGGTTTTACAATGCAATGGCGTTCTTATTTTTGTGTCTGTACTTTGGACTCATAAAAACTTTTAAAAGATTCCTTCGTAGATACATAGCCGTAATCACCTTTCCTTCAAAATTCAGAAAACACCTTAAATTGAACAATATGTTTCTTTACCTAAAATAGTGAATGCTATAACTTTTAAAAATAGTCAAATAAGTACGAATTGGTTTGCAGTATTCTTTAGATATAAGTCTAGAGTTGGATACAAGAAAAGTCCTAATCTTGTTTGGAGCACCTCCCACTGAACTTTTTGAAACTTACCCTGCATGTCTGTTACGATGAAAAGAATACTCTCAAATTTTTTGGGATTTTTTCGATTATTATGGCCATGGTCGTACAGAATATTTTTAATTTTATTCTTTACTCTACTTTTTATCGTTTTTTGTAGTATCTTCGGCCATAAAAGAAATATTAAAAATCAGTTTCTTGTATAAAATAGTCTCAGCTTTATCAAAAAAATATTGAATTATTTTTTCGATTAACAGAAAGACATAAAAATTAAATTTACTATCTAAAGAGTTGGTTTTTTTGTGTTGCCCAAAATTTGAGAATTTTTCTAAGGTTTTTTTAAAATGCTGATATAATTTTACATAATATGTGTAAATTTCAAAGTGGGTTCCTTATATACGAAAAAGTATCTTATTGTTACACGTAATTATTTCAACCATTTTGATTAATGTGGTCGTTTTGACCCATATATTTTTATACAGATATTTTAAAAGTACAAATTGATATAATATAATATTTTTTAACATTGTTATACATATTTATTTATTGTTTGTTTAGCCTAATATTTTCTCGGAAAGTGAGATGGATGAACGCAGAAAGGAATTCCAATTACATGACATAAATAGAGACGGCTTTATTAGTGTTTCTGAACTTTACGAAATTCTTAATAAAACGGGCTGGAATATGTCCTTAGAAAATGTCCAAGATATAATTGAAATTAATGATATTGATGGTAACCTGCGTTTATACATATTACATGCATTTGTATAACATACTTAACAATTTATACAAACTTATCTTAAATCATATGACTATTAGTATAGGAATGTGGACTTTTAATCCTTTCTTAGACCGTTCCGGTTATAAACTTTTAACAATTAAATGAAATTAAAAGCGGGTAGGTTTTTAGGTAATGTGCATAGGCAATATTGAAAGCAAGTGTTTTTTTATTACAAATTTCGAACAAGCCAGTTTCTTTTTAGGTTATTTGTATAAGCTTATAAGTATTAGTTTTAACTTCTACAATTTTTTATAAGTTAATTTGAGACATTTTGGTAGTAAAAATGTTGTAGCTATGACAAAATTGTGACACTTTAGTTGGTCCAAATTCAAGTCTGTAAAACGATTTTGTTAACTTTTTGTTAGGTTATGGTAGGAACCGAATTTTAATGAAAGATTTCAGTATTTTTGTAATTATATAAATTAAATTTGATTTGAAGTTTTAATGTTAACCGCAATTGTTTTACATAAAACTAGCAAAAAATAAAAAAAAATAAATACAATATACAAACTTAAGACATCAGTAATGTATATTTTATTTAAATATTTTTATATGTACAGGAAATGGAAGCATTGACTTTTTTGAATACTTGGTTATGATGCAGACTAACTCCGATCGTAAACAAAACATGAAGATGTTTATCTTATTGGACAAAGATAAAAATACTTTTTTAAGTAGAGATGAAATAGTAAATTTTCTAAAGGAAAATTATACGCCCATTTCCGAGAAAACAATAGATTGTATACTTAACAGTTTCGATAAGAATGAAGATGGTACAATCTCTTTCGAAGGTAAGATATTTTATCAAATAATAATTACTACATTTTTTTTGTTAGTTCAATGTAAGTTAAATGTTTATTAATTACCTATACCTGTGTTATTTTTTTTAGAATATATGAACTACAAAAAACAAAATTAAGCTTCTAGAATGCAGTATTTCTATAAGAGCATGAAAGAAAACCGATTATATTTAAATGTATTTGATATTGTCTAATAAATTAAAATATATGTCATTGCGTTTTTGAAATTTCTTAATATAGATAAAAATAAATCATTAAGCTTTTTGAAACTTACATTTACCTCCAATAAACATCTGTTGAATTCAGTATGGCAATTTGTCCAATACAAAAATGGGTCATGAGGGAGGGGGATTTATTCCCCAAATCGGACTTCTGTACTACATCCCTGTGACAAATCTCTTAACAGGGTCAACGGGTATAAGGTAAGTTCGACTGAAAACAGTAAAAATAGCCATAACTTCTAAAATTGTTGTGATAGAGAGCCGACATTTCACAATATATCAAGTTTAAACGGTGCAAATTTCAAACGTTCAGGTTCCACGGGACGCAAGAAATAAAATTCACGATCACTATCGAATTTTCATGAGTTCATCTAGAACAAATAAACTGGTAAACTTTAATTAATACAGATAATGAAAAATTATAATTTGTATAGTCGCTATAGACGGACATAGGGTTAAATATTGAAAAAAATTGCAAATTAAATTTATTAAATTATAAGAAACTGAATTTTTTTAATGAAAATCGGCTTCCTAAATAACATTGTAAAGTAACCAAAGAACTCGGAGCTCTTTACATATTGAAATTGGACCATCCTAAGTATTCAACATTTTGTCTAGCTTTTTGACCTAAAATAACTTTTACTCATAGAAAAAATTGTATAACTTAAAAATAATACCTTGAAGCTTATACAAAATAACTGGTAAATCAATTGACATGTTTGAAATATATTCAAACCTTTTTCCTTAAATATTGCCTTTGCCTATACAAAACTCTTTAAAAACAGGACGTATGGCCGATGGTGCATGCAATCTCCTTGACAGATCTGTTTTAACATGTCGCAAATGTTGTATTAATATCTCAATCAAAAATAACAATAGGGAAGAATAAAAATGCCTGCTTACCCTCGTTTGCATAAAGGATAGCATTAATATGTATGAAATACAGTTGGTACGTCATAAAACTTTCATGCAGAAATTTATGAAAACCACTTTTTTCTTAAATATTGTCTCTACAACTCCTTAACAACAGACCGCGTGCAGTCCCCTTAAATTTTACCATTCGTCCCCGCTTTGCTGGCTTTTTATATTTTAAACAAATACATTTTTGTAGAATTTGTATTCTCCTCGAAGCGAGCAACTAAACACGCACGGGCGCTGGTTCAAAATTTGCATGAGATTTTTAAGGCAAACAAGGTAGATAGGTAGGTTCCTCCTACGCCGCATCGGCTAGATCGTCATAATAATATTAGGTAGGTAGATCGCGTAGGTTCGGTTACCGTCGGCACCGGTCGCCGTTTTTACGGCCGGCGGTCGTGTCTGTTTTTGTTTACAGTATGCGCACGCACTTCACAGTCAGTTTCGTCTCACGCGCACCCGTCGTGTTATCGTCGACATCGACGGCGGCAACGCACGAGTTATACCAATATTATTTTCATGTTCTTGCCGTGTGACCTTACCCCTAAATAATAATAATAAACACCTACCGTCTTGTTTAACCCGGATTATTTGTACGCATTATCGGCGGTCTGTTCTTGTTTTTTAAGTTTATTTTCGCGGCCGATCAGATATATATTTTAATACCGTCGGAAGACTTGAACGCTATTTAACCGTGTGTCCAGACGGTCTGGCGGCGTTAAACAGTGCGTATCGAGGAATTTCAATGCTGGACAACTAAATTTCATTTTAAGGTCAGTAAAACGGACTATCTAGTCGCTAGTGTATATTTGACATTATATAGAATATAGTAATATTTCATTAATTAATATCATAACGTTCTTACGACGGTTGCGGTATAAGTAGCCGGCTGCTAAGATTAGCGCATAATCCATTCGGTATTCACTATTCACATGTTTTTGATAATACCTGCTTCTCATATTAGTGTATGTGCAGTTTGTGCACTCTACGGAACCCTGACGACGCTGACAATGGCAATGCTCACAAAAGGCCGTTTATTTTTACTTTTCTATTGCGGCAGTGCGTAAGCTCTGATATTGTACGCGAGTAGCACGCAAGTTCGTTTGTCAAAATTCAAAATGTAAAATGTTAAGTTGTCACGTTTAATGTGGTAGAAAAAAAATGCTAGGAGTTAGGACCATTTCAACCATCGGTCGAGTTATTGATTGAAAGTTCATATATAAGTTTTTTGACTAATATTTTTGTTGGTATGTGTCCTCCAAAATGTTTATTTACAGTAGAAAACACATTTTAGTTTGATATTTTAAAACTATTACACAACTAGTATTGGTTTACTATGTGTAAAATACACATCGTATCATTATCACATCCTCAATCATCTTAGTCATCTATTTGTGCAACTACTAATTCACAAATAATGTAATCTTAAGTACCTATATAGTATTGTTGTTTTTATGAATTTTCAAAGACAAATAAAATTTAAAATGACTGCCTCAATTATTATCTAATAATTGTTTCGTTGTTTTGATTTTTGTTTGCTTAGTAACTAATACGAGATGCGTCGATATGACGTGCTTGTAAGTTGTATTTTTTAGATACGTACGTGTTGGTATTAATAAATAACATAATAATTAATATTATTTTATATTGATTCTAATTTAAAATTACTTAAAATTAACTTAAATTTTAATTCGAAGTGTATTTCTTCCGTGTTATTTTGTGTGTATGTAATTATCGAAAGTTATGTGAAAAGTACAAACGGTTCGTTTAAGAGCGATCTAAATTCTAACTGAACAAGACACTAATTGCGAGTGCACTGAAATCTTTGGTATGTTAAATCCTATAAATAACTAAGGTACGCTTAACGCTAGACATTTTGTATTATAATGAGTAGGTACACATTATCGGTATGCATTACCCTAGTGATGTTAGAGTAAGCCGGAACTGGGTTACAGTCTTGATTTAATCTCTATGACCTGCACTAGTTGCACTTTTTTTTTGTGTGCTGAACATCCCGCGAAGAATGGAAAGTTTTTGACATTATTGTCATTCATAACAATTATATTGTCTTTCGATAATACCTATGATGTTGGTCCAAATGTGGTTATTATACGGTGAGAGCTGGGTTGATAAACGTCGAAAACAATAATTATTACTTTGAGTTTAGCAAAACGGAGAAAGCGAACACAATTTTAACATTGTCGCTTCGTGTATGGACATTTTTGTATACTAAATGTTTTTTAAAGGAAAATTCGAATTCCTAGTTTTTTATTTCATTAACTAATAACTAATAAGCAATCCCTTAACGGGTTTTTGATAACAAAAAACTGGAAAAAAAAACAAATCACAACAAACGATTGAATTCGCGTATCATCTAATGTGACCTTTACTATAGTTTATTACTTTGAAAAATCATTTCTAAATTGGTAATTACTGTAGCCTGCATGCGTTTTTGAAAATATTAATTTTAGGAATACATAAATATAACTATGAAAAAATAATTTTATACTTTGGATACAAAAAACAAAGGCAAATTAAATTTTAGGCTTACAAAAAAAAAAACGATGCTACTTTTTCAGGTCTTACAAAAATGTAATGTTGATGAACAAATATCTAAATAAAAGTATTGTAACAATAAAAGATTTCATATATTTTCTTGATACTTAACCTTAAGGTGGCTATTTTTTATTTTGATGAACATTTTTTTTTGTAAAAATTATAGTATTTGTGGTTCTGTTCATACAAAAGAGTTTGGTTTTTTTATAAAACATAAAATGACTACGGATTTAAAATAGAAAGGGACTGATATAAACTAGGTGGAAATTGGAATTAAAGCATTATACTTTTAATCTTGACACGGATGGATCCACATTGTTTACTTTTTTTGGAGTAGATACATCATGATATTTGAGCAGATAAAACACTATCTAATTTCATCATGTAAGCTGTACAGTTAATAAATGTCGAGAAGCGTAAAAATGATTATAACTGAGCTGTAATAAGTATATTATAAAATGATTAGTTATTTTTTGTTATTCGCCCCTGACAATTAACACATTATTTTCAGTATTTTTTTCTATTCGAAAACCGGCTTAATTGGTGTAAGCTCTGTGTTTTCATTTTCACACAAATAATGTTCAGCGCCTATTGTCTAGAAGGCAAACCAATGTTTTAAAATATTAAAATAAGTCTGGGAAACTGTTATTGAATTAGACTTTGTCGTTGGACAAAGGAAATTATAAGAAATATTGAGTCTGGCCAGGATGTGACGAAAATCTAATATCATTTGCTTACACAATATCACTAAATACCTATGCTTAAAATATAATAATGATTCATTTGTGGGCGCTTATAATTAATTTTTTAAGCCGCAAGGTATTGGTTTTCCTAGGATTTTAAAACCAGTTTCTCTTAGTTTCAATTGTATTTTGAACTTACAATTATTAGTGTCATGATACATATTATGTCATCACGAAAAATACATTTGGTCGTGTCATTAGGCTGATGATTTCTTTTACGATATTTACTGAAAAACATATCATGGTCGGTGTATTAAGACTATATTGTAAGTTTTTCTAATAGGCGTTTTCCATTATTTGGTATATTCGTCAAAAACTACAAAAATGAACATATAAATCGAATCGTTAATGCATGATTGTTTGTTTTTTTAAATTTTTTTTTATTACAATTAATTTGCTTCAGAAAATACAATTTTGATATTTTGTTTTTATAGTAAATTTTAACTATTTGTTATGCTAGCTAATTTTGGATCATCATTTTTGTGTAGGTCACTATCATCTGGGGACCTAATGGCGAACAACTTAAATAGACTGGTTTTACATTAATACTCAAAAAATGCTGAATAATAATTCACCTCGATGATTCTATTTTAGTGGGTTAGAACTGATTATGATCGCACTCGACGTCTCTTTTCGTTATCCGGCTGTGGAAGAAAAAAGATAATGTGTTTATTTTATTGATTTATTTTATTTTAAAGAAACCGTTTTAACTCTTTCTACCGGTTGTAATGTTATACTTTACAATAATAAATATATAATCGCGTATGGTTTCAACGCCGCCGACGCCTTGTTAGGACGTTTGAAGTGGTGTTTCGTCGGCGCCCAAGGGACGTTATAAATATAGGGTTCCCAAACATCATTGCCGGCAGGTGGTTTAGGATTAAACACGATGCTATCCCACGGAATAGCGACTGTAGTCTGTAGTTGGCCCTCTTAAATTATTTTTCTCTGGAATTTTTACACGGCCCATGTACCCATCGTTTAATCACAAAGTATAAATTGAATAAAATATGAATGCTATTAAAGTACTTGTTGATAAATTTCGGCAATATTATTTCAAACTTTAGTGGTTTTAATGGAATCTATAAAATCAAATATATATTGCTTAGGACACTATAGGCGAACGTTATGTTACGTAAGTGACATGGGTCGTAAAAGTGCACTAAAGTTCTCATATATAAATTAATAGCCATGTTGTATCCTTGTTATTAAGAGTAATTTATTATGTGTTTCTTCTCCGTTACACACTCAAGGCGCACTACATAATATTATTATGTTGTACGTTATATGTATAAAATGTACTCAATAAATAATGATAATAGACCAGTGTCATTATTGGGTTTAAAATTAACTACAAGACAATGCCTACAACGTTAATTCTATGTAAAACAAATCTTGATCATAAATTCTTCAAGAATTCCTGCCATTTTGACACCTTGTGTAAGATAACACTCAAATGCTTAATCAGATTATTTTGCTCGTGGTAAAACAATTTTAAGATATGATATTCCTCTTGAAGGTCTACATTGCATTTATTTTAGTTTTTAATAAAGTTTTAAAGTGTTATGATAATCGACTTGATATCAAGATATCCTATCATTCAATTACATTTGCATGTTTGTTTCGTGATTAAGTAGCTTTTAGTTAAGGAAAATTTCAAATCGCTGCAAACATTAATATTTAAAAGAAATCCAATAAGAAAATTAAAATATGTATTTTTTTCTACGCTATCAAATAAAAACATTTTTTTAAATATTCTTTATTATTTTGTTTATATTTAACAATAATACATTTTTATCTCCTTGAACAATATACATTTTTTATTAGAAAAGTTTAGAACGATAAAACAAAGTTTTAAAAAATATATAGGTAATATAAGTAAACGAATTTTTTTAATGATATGACAACATTATTTGTATTAATGTTACAAAATTCTGATACGTTAAGCTATTGAAACGATAACCCCCGTTTTAAGATTTTATCTTGGTACTTAAAGATTTTAGTAATTTCTTTTATATAAGTATTTAGGAAAAATCCAGGGTTTTTCTGGAAGTTAATCTGATTGACCCGATACTATTGTTTTAAAATATTGGACATTTATATTTCATTATGATTTTAATGACTACAAAAAAACATGTACTATATAGTATACCACTATTAATAGTGATATATTATATTATATATATATATATATAATTGGGTTTGATTTTTTAAGAACTCATTATGTTTACTAAACATTGTCTAGCAATTGAAGAACTTCATACAACAATTCTTAAGTGCACCTTATATTTCATCCAAAAAAAGTTACCGATTCCAAATTATACCGATTATAACTTCTTACTTAACATAGTAATTTAAACATTTTCTTCACTATTTAAAATTTTTAAAAAATATGTTACTTGATTGTTGCATTAATAGTTGTCTCAAGAATCATCGGTTTATATAAAAGTGTAAATTCTTAGTTAAAATGGAAA